GACCTGCACGGGGGTCACTCTGCCCAGAAAGTGGGCCTTGCAGGAGGGCCCAGGGAAGAGGGCAGAGGAGAGAAGCCCCAGCCCCATCAGGACCCCCCCGATTTCTGCCCACTCACCTGACAGGGACTCTCCCCTTTATTCTCTCAGTTTCCTGGGAGGTGGGCACCATTGTGGTACCATTTTACAGATGCAGAAGCCATGGCACAAAGAGATCAAGAAACTTGCTCAGGGTCTCACAATATGCAAGCGGCAGAGCCCAGCCCAGGAACTGACCCAAGGCCCTCAGGAAGGGACTTCCTGCCAGGGACTCTAACCCCAGGCAGTCCTCTAGATACAGGGACCAAGCCACTACCCCACAAATGAACTTACCCCTTTCCAATCTCTGCCTGAAGCAAATATTCCCTGGCAAGGCGGGGGTGGGGGAGGCCCCTCTCCTTGACCCCAGAAGCCCTGATGCAGCCATTCCCCATGCCCATCGTGATGACTGAAGACAAGGAGGGCCCCAGCGCTCTCACCTGCTCCCTCCTTGAATGTCCTTTATTGCATCTAAATCAAGTCACACCACACCTGCTGCAAGTATCTGCAGGTCCAAGTACCTGCTGGTCCAGTCTCTGTTCTCAGCCTAGCACACTGCACCCAGGCTGTCGCAGGGCCCACACTGGGCCCCAGACCACAGCCTCCCCAGTGGTGTCTTCTGGAGCTGGGGAATGGTCAGGGGCAGGCTGAGCTCAGGGTGCAAGCAGGACCACAGCAGTAGCTTGAGAGGCCTCAGAGCCAGGGGAAGACCCGTGTCCCCAAGACCCACAGCCCCAGTTCGCCAGGCTCCTGATTCTCATTCTTCCTCTTCTTCCTTCTTCCCCACCCTCCTCCCCACCCTCCTCCCCTCCATCCCTCTCTCCTGTGCATGGCAAGGACTGGGAAGCATCTGGGAAGGGAAAGGACAAGCTCTGGAGGAAGGCGGCTTCTAGCCTGACTACTCACCAGCTGTGTAGTGCTGGATTCCTGACTCCTCAGCATCTCAGCTTCCCCACCTATAAAGTGAAAGTGGGCATGCGCATTGGCAATGATCATGAAAGATTAGAATCTGGTAGATGCCCCTTAGGTGAGCCCTGGTCAGGGACACGGGCCAAGAAGGAGATGTACCTGCTGTTCGTACAGAGCTCACGGCCCTGGGGGAGCAGGGAGACAAGCCCTTGAAAATGGGCAGGTACAGTGTGTCGTAATGTGCGACATGACAGACAAGCGCTCATAGGCTGTGGAAGCCCGAGGAGGGCATGTGAGATGGACTGGGATGTCAAGGGGGGCTTCACGGAGGAGGTGACCATGGAACTGGGTCTTGAATGGTGAACGGGACTTTATACAGCAGAGAGGAAGGCTACCATCATCACAGAAAAAGGCTCAAGGTTGGGAAAGAACCTGATCTGTTCAGGGAGGTTGCTGACATTCATTCTATCATTTAGTTCAAGTTTAAATGTTTATTGAGCACCTGCTATGTGCCAGGCCCTGTACTGGGTACTTTATACGTTTCATGCAATCTAGGGAGCCAGTGGCCCCTGTGCTTGCCAAATTTTATAGTAGAGGGGACTAGCATTTGGGGATTAAATGACTCATCAGGGTGAGTGAAACAGTAAATTATCCACCAGGATTCAAATCTCAGTTTGCCTGGCTCCAAAGAGGCCTGTCTGAAGGAGGGCAGTTGTTTGGGATTTACAGGTTCTAGACCATTAAGAAGCAGCCTGAGTATTTGACAGGGAAACTCCCAGAACCTGGGTAGCTCACTCAGGGCTCAGGTTCAGCACATTTCATTCCAAGAAACACATCATTCAAAGCTCTTTGTGACCCTTAAAGAACATTAAATGGGGCTCGATTTTTAATTCAGGGCACCTCTTCTTAAGTATCCTCTTCTCTCCCCAATTCTCCTGTGGCTGCTGTAAGGCGTCTAGTATCCCTCCGTCCCCACGCCCCACCCATCCTTTCTCCCAGCCCATTCAGTCCCCTTCCTGTTCTCTCTCACCCCTTAGCCCATTTTCCAGATTGAGAATCTGGGAAGCTAAGGACCTGAGCGAGGACAGGTGTCTGGCAGATTAGGGACGGAGGTGGGGTAGGCAGCACATTGGCCCTGCTGCACTAAAATCTGCCCCGAATCACCACTTCGGACCCGCTCACACCGTTCCTGAGGCCCCACCCTTGCCTCTCACACGTCCTGGACACAATGTCAGTGGCTTCTTCCCTGTCAGGTATCTTTCTGTAGTCTGGTGTCCACTCAAAGCTCAGGTTGGAATGGTTGGAGGACGGATGCTCAGCATTCTTTGCTCTTGTCCCCATCTGTCACAGGGACAGCCCTGGGCTCCTCCCAGGAAAAGCCCCACCCAAGTGCCTATTGTACCCCTATGTCCTTCAGATACCCCAAACTCATATGCAAACTGAACACTTCTCTCTTGGGGCCTCAGTATGCTCATCTGCAATATAATGTACCTGGTAAGATTATTGTGGGCATTAAAAATGAGATCGTACACACGCCTGGCACATTTTTAATGTTCACTCAAGTTCAGCTGCTCTTGCAGCTCTTCACCTGCTCCCCAGTCTCCTCTGTGGATAGACTGTAAGTGCCTTATGGACCAAGCTGTGTCTTATCTTTGCATCCCCAGTGGCAATTTGGGAGCCTGGGATACAGGCAGGGGTTACCAATGCTGGATGAATGGATGGAAATATGCACTAATTAGGCCCCAAAGAATTTCAAATTTACTCTTCCCAAGAGGCCTGATATCATTCAAGCATTCTTTCTGAGTGGGTTTGCCCTGGGTTACCCACACTGTTTAATCAAGCATGGCTTCCCAAGTGAGGAGCGTCCCCAGGAAGCCTGGGGGTGGGCTCAGGGGCAGGGGGAGAAGACTGGGCTGGATAAAATCCCCTTGGCAACACTCCACCCCAAGACGGACTGAACCTTGAGGCCAAGTTTGCCCCACATCCCCACATTCAGGGTGCTCATTGCCTGAAGCTGCAGCTCCATCGGCATTCTGCCCAGGAGTGAACCCGGATGCGAGGAGGAGGGAGAGGTGTGGGTGGCGGGAGATGACAGGCGGCTCAGGAAATGAACTCCACCATCTTGTTCTGACCCCTGCGAATGGCCAGGCTTTGCTGGGGCCCCCAAGCCAGAGAACAGCGAAGAGGAGGCAGCTGGGGACAGAGCAGCAGCCCAGCTCCTTATCTCCCTCCTTCTGCCAGTCAACCTGTGCAGATAAGACAGGGCGGAGAGCAGTCTGGGCTGGAGCCACAAAGGAGAATGTAACGAAATGATACTGCTGGCCCGGCAGGGAGGGCGGGAGCGTGGAGGGTCCCAGCCAGGACATGGGTGTGTGTGGGGGGGGGGCGTCTTGGAGGGAAGGGTTCCCTTCTTTGAGAAGAGGCAGAGGAATCAGCACCCATTGAACAGCCTTGCAAATAAATGGCAACAGGCTGGGAGCCCATGGCAGCTTCACCGGGTGCAGAGGAGAAATCCCAGAGAGAAGCAGACCTCAAACATGCGTTCCGCACCCGTTCCACCGCACTCCCCACTCCCAGCCCACACCTCAGAGGCGGTGATCGCCTGCCAGGTTCTCAGGAGCCCAGCAGAGAACCCACACGTTGCCCTAAGAAGTGCTCTGAAGTCTCACGGTGGTATGATGGCGGCCATCCATCCTTTTACTCACTTAACCAGCACTGAGAACATGGTACGGCCGGCCCGGAGCACACATTCTAAAGGGGACCACAGACAGTAACGAACAGTCTCCCAGAAACAAGAGTACCCCAGCACACTGATGCCAACGCCCTGAGGGAGAGAAACTTGGCTCTGAGCTCAGAGGAATGACCCTGGGCATGGTGGTCTGGCTACCCTGCGGAGGCTGGGGGGACCTCAGTCGACATCAAAGGATGAGTAGGACATTACTAGTTAAAGGTGGTTGGGGGTGAATCTTCCAGGCAACAAAGGACACATACAGAGAAGGGAGAGGAGGACACATTGCAGGGAAGCTGGGGAGACCCACTGAATGTGTTTGGCAGCCTGGTGACTGGGAGCTGGAGGAGACAGCAGGACCAAGCCACACAGGGCCCCAGGCCAGGGATTTGGGGCTCTATTCTAGGAGCAATAGGAAACCACAGGTGGGTGGAAGAGGGGGTGGGAGTGATAGAGACCCGTGTTGCTTTGTTAGTTCTGGCCACTGAGTAAGGAGTGGATTATTCCGGTGGGGGAGGGGGCAGCGGTAGATTCAAGAGGCCAATTAGGAGCTGCAGTCCAGGCAGAGATGGTGGTGCCTTGGACAAGGACGCTGGTGACAGAAAAGGAAAGACATGGGTGAATGCCAGGGCTTCTCCAGAGGTAAATCACAGCCCTTGGGGGCAGGTTGGGGGTGGGGGCAGAAGGGAAAAAGAGGTTCCAGGGGTGACTCCCCGGCTTTCAGCCTGCTCACGTGGTGGGATCATGGCCACCTTCTCCATGGCAACTTTGGGGGGTACTCCTCGTTCTTCTGGTACCCCAAGTGTTGACTCTAGTGGGAAGAGTCACTGAAACCAGAGAAGGAGGGACTTGATGAGCTGTTCTGATCCCTCCTTTGGCAAAGGAAGCACCCACAGCTCAGAGGCTTTGGGGCTGACAGATGGATGGGCCAGGCCAGGAGAGCGTTGTCCGCTGGGGAGAATTCCAGGCTGGACCCGAGTGAGTCTGCTTGGGCTCCAGCCCTGACCGCGCACCCACCCACTGAGTGAATCCAGGTGGGTGGCCTGCCTTCCGGCCTCAGTTTCTCTGCTGGGAAATGGAAAGACGTGATATTAGCACTCCTCTTCCAGTTCAGCATCACTGTGGGTCGCTAACTGGAAGTGCTTGGGGAAGAGGAAGAGGAGGATGCTCGGACTGCCTGTGGGGTCTAAAGTGAGAGAGCAGACGGGGTGGGGGAGGACAGGGAGCAACTCCTCACTTCCTGCCCGCCCTGTCTCTTGCAGACCCTGAAGGCTGAGTAGCCAGCGGGATGCCTGGTCTGCTGAACCAGACCACAGGGGCCGCCCTGCCCCTCACAGCCTCTGACGTCACCTCCTTCGTCAGTGGGTACGCACTGGGTCTGACCGCCTCCCTCACCTACGGCAACCTGGAAGCCCAGCCTTTCCAGGGTAAGGAGCCCCTTTGGGACTTCCCCAGCATCACCCCTCCTTCATACTGAACCCCCACCCCAAAGGGACTGGCTGATGGACACTGGGCCTGTCCTGTAACCTCTTTGAGTCTCAGTTTCCTCACCTGTAAAATGGGGATGCCGTTTCTGCCCAGCAGGTCTCAAAGCTGGTAGCAAGTCAGGTCAGGATTTGAGCCCGGGGTTGGGCCCAGCCCTGCCAACTGTCTGAATAGTGCTGCGACAGTTCCACAGGGCACACCCACCTGTGCCGAATGGTCAGGCCTCCACTTTCTCCCAGGAGCCTCACAGTGGGAGAGGCCTCAAGGCTCAGGGGAAGCCAGGCGCCTCCAGGCCCAGGTGTGTGACTTTGGGGAAGCCACTGTCCTTCTCAAAATCGGGATGTTCCTTGGCCTGTCTGGACACCAGGGTCTGCGGAGGGAGCAGATGAGGTCACGTGTGGGGAAGAACAGTGTGGAATAAAACAGTGTGAGAAGATGAATCACTGGGTGGAGCAGTCAGGACCGGACGGTGGACGGGTATTTGCCTGAGTCGTTTTTACGTCCGACTCCTCACTGTCCGCTTTTGCAGGGAGGCTGGCCGGGAGGGCGGTGGGTAAAGGCTGGCTAGGGTTGGGATTCCCTCTCACCCCCAGCTGACAGGAGCCTTCTAGCCCCTGCCCTGGGCACCCCATCCAGCCTGACCTGAGGTTCTGAAGCCGTTCCAGTTTCCAAAAGGAAGCTGCAGGGAAACTTTCTTCCCCTTCAAAATCTCCCGGGCAGAGCAAACAACCCTGCTCCTCTGTTTAAGTAAACCTAGAGAGGGCAGCTTAAAAAGGGACCCACTGAGGACCCGGAGACTACATTACTGAACAATTTTGGGCCAGTCCTGCTGCCCCACCCCCATTTTATGGATGAGAAAACTGAGGGTTGGGGGACAGGAAGCAGGGGTTTGTGGAGGGCTCACTTTTGGGGCCCGGCACTGCGTCGTCCCAGCGTTGGTCGGCAGTTTAAATGAGATACAACCTTGATCCCCCCCGAGTGAGGTCCCCGAGCCATCAGCACCACCCCAGACAGAGATGGTTAGAAATGCAGATCTAGGCCCCGTCCCCAAACTGCTGAACGGGAATCTGCATTTTAACAAGACGACCCCCCCCAGGTGATTCATGTGCTCTTAAAGCTTCAGAAGCGTCGAGGTAGACAAGTGGGGAGCACATAGCTTAATAAATGGTGGCTGTGTTTTTCAATTTTCATGATGACCCTGTGAGTCGGGCTCTATTGTCCCCATTTTTCGGGCTTAGAGAAGCTAAATATCATACCCAGGTCAGCAGGCTAGAAAAGGCTGCAGGGCCCAGATTCGAACACTAGTTTGCTTCCTCCAACGGCCCGGCTCCCGGGAGCCAAAGACAGTGCATTCGCTACACAGCTGTGTTTTATTCGGCCCATGCGACAGGGCACATAAATTCCAGGCTTCTATTCTCTCTCAAAAAGTCGGCAGCCCTGGCTACAGTGGACTTGCATGCCTGCCGAGTGACAGTTGTCTGTAAAATGGGGATGCCATTTCTGGGGCAGCTGTCCCTCTTCCAGTAGCCCACTGCACAGAGTGCCTGGCCTCAGAGCCGTGAGGCCCCAGTCCGAGTCCTCTCTGACACCCTCTAAGTGGCAGCGAGTACGTCCTTCTATCTGGCAGCCCAGAGGCTTGGGTCCCTTCCCAGGGAAGGAGTGTGCAGGGTAGGGCTGGGGCACCCCGTGACGCTGGGCCCTGCTCCGGCAGGTCTCTTTGTGTACCCACTGGATGAGTACACCACGGTGATTGGCTTTGAGGCAGTCATTGCTGACCGGGTCGTCACAGTACAGATCAAGGACAAAGCCAAGATGGAGAGCGGCCACTTCAATGCCACCCGCGGTCCAGCCACAACGATCACGGGTAAGGAAGCCAGAGGGGGCTGTGGCAGCGCCTGAGTCTGGACGAAGTCTCAGGCAGACTGAAAGGGCAGCCATGGGACAGGGTAGAGAGAGCACTAAACTAGGAGTCAGGAATTCTGTGTGCCTTTGGGCCAATGATCAACCTCTCTGAACCTCACCTTACTGTCCATAAAATAGAGGCGATCTTTCCTCTTCTCATCTCAAAAGCATGGGGAGGATCGAAGGAGGCAACAAAAGAGTTTTGAGATGTCTCTACAGAACAGAATAGCATGTCATTTAAGCTCAGAAGTTGTGGAATGAGTCATACAAGGGTTGGACTCCCCATTCTGCTGCTTGCAAGTGGTGTGAGCTCAGATAACAAATTAAAATTATCCACAAAATGAAGCTAATAATTATACACACCCATTGCTCAATGGAGCATGTGTGCAGAGCACTCATCACAGTCCCTGCTACAGACTTAAATACTTGAAGTATGGCTACTGATGACTGCTATTAAGGATGCTGAGGCTCAGAGAGGGTGAGTGACTGGCCCAAGGTCACACAGCACATTAGTGGCAGAGCCAGGGCTTGGAATCCAGACCAAGTATCATACGATGTAAGAGATTCTTACCATTGGATCTATGACCAAAGTGACATGGGTTCATCTGATCACTAAGATATTCAGGAGTATTTTAATGAGCACTCACCATACGTCAGATGCAGTTGCCCTGAAGTTGTTCTGACCACTCACAGCCTGGAAGAATAGCTCGGGTGTGCCGGGAAGTAACCATGAGAGCAGGTGGAAAGTGGCTGTGCCCAAAGAGGCCTGGAGAATGTCAGGAGGGAGAGAGGGGTGCAGATTGGGGCCTGGGGAGGCATTCATGGAGGGGTTGGATGGACGGGTGAGACCGGCTAAGCAGGGATGGGGCAGTGGGCCTTTTGGATAAAATAGCGAAGCACAAGCATGGATCCCAAAGGTGGCAGGTGCTTGGGCACGATTCTTGTGGGGCGTAGAGTCTGCGGATGGAGAAGCGGCTCTCTGTTAGGGTTTCGTGGGTCCAAGTCTCTGGATCCCAGAGGGTACAAGTACACAGGCCTGGCCTCAGACCTACGCAGATTCAGATCCTGGTACAACGAGTTAGTTATTTGCCCAGGAAGTTGGCCGAGTCATACCCCTGCACTGAGTCTGTTCACCCATCAGCAAAATGGGCTACTCAGACCTGCCGCACAGCAGGCTTAGAGGGGACCAGAGGCAGTTAATCTGTGCACAGCTGCTGACTCCAGGCCTGGCACCTAGGAAACGTTCTGCAAGAGGGCGTGTCCATCGCCCCTCATTCCCGCTCACTGGAAAAGGTGGCTTTGGATGAGGACTTGGAGCGGATCCTGTTTGTGGTCAACCTGGGGCCCATCGCCCCTATGGAGAACGTCACGGTCTTCATCAGCACATCCTCAGAGCTGCCGACACTGCCCAATGGTGCCGTGCGGGTCCTGCTGCCTGCCATCTGCGCCCCGACTGTGCCCCAGTTCTGCACGGAGAGCGCTGGCCCCTCCAACCAACAGGAGCAAGGGTAAGAAGCACCTGCCTGGACAAGGGGACAAGGGTCGGAGTCTCAGGGGTGTGTGGGGCGGTGGAGATGGAGAGTCGAAGGTGAAGCTCAGCACTACAGGTGCCACCACCCAAATAACTGCTCCTCCCATGCTCACTCTGAGAGCATTAGAGTCTCCCTGCAATACCTCGGAGTGGTGCTGGCCAGGAGTGCTGGAGTTTGGACAGCTTGGGACGAGAACTTACAGTCTTTAAATTTCATGTGCTGAAGACACTGAGTGTTAGGAATCAAGAGTCATCCTGGCTCCTCCCTTTTTAGAACTTCGGCGGGAGAGATAATTATCCAGTTAATAATAATGTGGAACTGCCTGTGTCCTTGCATGCATAATAAATTATGTGAACAGCACGATGAAGGAGACTTTCACGGGCTAAAAGTGTAAGAGAGGGATCCAACCTGGGGTTCTTTGGGCCAGGCAGGCTTCTCTGAGGAGTGATGATGTTTCAGCTGAGAGCTGAGCAATGAGGGTGGAGCAGGCACAGAAAGGAGCATCCCTGTAGGTGAGAAGAGCAGATGCAAAGGCCCTGGGGCCACAGCCTGGGTGTGAGTGAGGAGCAGCAAGCAGGCTGGCAAGGCTCCAGCAGGTGGGAGAGTGAAGGGAGAGATCAGAGGGCTACTGTGGCATCACCCTGTGTAGGACCTTGAAGCCCTGGGTGAGGACACTTGTCACTACAACAGAGAAGCAGGAGGCACAAGCCAGTCTCAGACCAGGGGACACCAGCTTGTGTTACCTTCGTAAGTGCTGCCATAGGCACCAAGCACTGCACATTTGAGAGACAGGCCCCCGTGGAACTGGGAACATTCAAGATTTGACAAGAAGGAACAAGAGGCCCCGGGGGCCTTGATACCCCTGACGTGGCCCCCATAATCTTATTGTCCCAGCAGGTAGCATTAGCAGAGGTACTCAAGGGAGAGTCCGGCATCAAACCCCTGTGAACCTCACAGATGTTCAGAGAGAGTGACAGGAGATAAAGTGAGAAAAAATAGATGAAGCTGAGGGCTAGTGAGGGCGAGGAGAGAAGGAAACTTGTGCAGCACTGGTGACAGTGGAATCTGGGACAGCCACCCTGGGAAGCAATCTGGCAACACTTCGTGTATGCCCTTTGACCCGGGGACCCCAGAGAAATGCTTCCATAAGTTCGAAAGGGGGACACGGATGAGGATCTTCACAGTGGCGGTGCCCGTGGACCCGGGGTGGAGGCAGGAACAAATGGGGACAGTATAACAGCCTTACATGAAACAACAGGTGCCCCGGTATCTACAGCGGGTACCATGTCAGCAGCAACAGCTGGTTCACACACAGCCACTTGGACAGAGTGAAAAAGGGGGCAGGGGAGAGTAGTGAATGAGATTCATAACGGATTGCAATCTCTTCTGTTTAAAATGTGTTCCCAACCAAATGCCACCACGGGTGTATGTACATGGAGACCACACCTCAAAGACCTTGGGAGTGGGGAGGGGTCAGGACCCCCAGACAAGGTGGGTGATGACACAGAAAGAAAGCCAGTGACTTGAGCGATCTGCAAGGGACAGACATTTCCTAAGCACTTGCTCAAAACGACAGTGTCATTATTATCCCCTTTTAATGGATGAGAAAACCAAGGCTTGATCGGGGGCTCCCAGCGCCCAGAGAGAGAGCAGGGATTCGGGAAGTGGTGTGATGTAGCCAAACAGGAGCAGGCAGGCTGGGCGAGCACGCACACTCGCCCAGGTCCCGCTTGTGGGAACTCAGGCCGGTTGCCTCATCTTGCCGAGCCTCGGTTTCCCCATGTGGGAGATGAAGGAGACAGGGTGAGGTGGGGGGACCCTGTTGCCTCCTTCTGGGGGTCCTGGTGAGAACAACGTGCGGTGACTCAGTGGAGCCCCGAGCCTGGCCCCTGGCCCAGCCCCCGCAGGTAGTGCGCCTGTGTTGGAGTCCAGGTCCTTCCTGGGGGCAGGTTGAATGGGGGAGAAAGTAAGGGTCTGGGGTGGGAGGAAGCCCATGAGCCGCCTTCCAGGCTGGGCTACAGGGGTGGCAGGACGGCCAGGGACTCACTGTCCTCTCACGCTCCCCCCCCCATCACCACGCTGGCCCTGGCGGCTCTCCGCTGCCTCCTCCTCCTCTCGGTCCCTTCCCAGCAAAGACTGGCGTTGCTCCAGCCCCTGGGCCCAGGACTCCTGCCACAAGTTGTGCCTGGCGACACTCTGGGACACCACCGTGTCCAACCCCATGGAATACGAGTTCAGCTTCCAGCTGGAGATCCGGGGGCCATGTCTGCTCGCAGGTGAGAGGAAACCGCCCAGACCCAGACTGACGCCAGGGAGACCCGAGGCCCCACAGTGGGGAGAGCCTCAGGCCCAAAGCTTCCAGTGACAAAGGGGGGGGGGTGACAGGCCCAGATGGAGGACGTCCTGAGTACATGGGGCTTCAGGGATCCCCATTTCCGGTCCCCCAACATACAGCCCAAAGAGGAGCCCCTTGCACAGACGGGTTTCCAGGCTGCCCCACGCCCACTTCAGTGGCTTCCCTGGGCAAACGGGCGTGGGAGCCTGGTGGTTCTTGGTCCCTCCTAGAGGCTGCAACCACAGAGCTGCTTCCCGGTTCTTGCCTTACTCAGCAGAACCACCAGGGGATCTTCCAGAATGCTGCCGCTTGGCTCCCGCCCGAGCTTCTGGCACCCGGGTCTGGGACATGCCTTGGCGTTGGACAGTTCCAAGGTCCCAGGTGATTCCAATGTGCAGCCACAGTTGGGAGCCATTTGTTCTGCTGGGTCGCCTCCCCCACCCCCTCAAGGTTTTAAAAGAACCTGGTTTCTTGTCCACGAGTGTTTCATTGGAGAAGCATGACCTTCCAACCTAAGAGGTGTTTATGGAGTCCCCGCCAATCGGGTGCTGAGCTCTTTCCATCTTTACGTGCCTCCATTGGGAAGCAATTCCTTTGACCATCCCCCACTGCAGTCCCATTTTGCAGATGGGGAAATTGAGGAGACCTATCTGTCCATGGTTACATAGCAAGCAGGTCAGGAGCCCCGGATGGGGCTGGCGTGTCATCTCTGGCCTGCATCTTGGTGTCTCCCACCAAGCTCCTACCTCTCTCCGGCCCCTGAGCCTGTCCCATCTCTGTGCCACTCAGGGGTAGAGAGTCCCACCCACGAGATCCGAGCCGACGCTGCCCCGTCTGCACGCTCAGCCAAGAGCATCATCATTACCTTGGCCAACAGGCACACCTTCGACCGGCCCGTGGAGATCCTCATCCACCCCAGCGGTACTGTGCACCAGCAGGGCGCCCCGGCATGCCCGTGGGAGGGGGCGGTGCTGACTCCATGAAACACAGACAGGTGGCCCTGCACCCAGTGGTCAGCCAGAGGAAAGGTAGGGGTATGTGGCTAAGGAGAGGAGACCAGCCTTCTAGGAAACTTGGCTCAAGCTGGTGGAAATGCCTCCTGCCCCGATTCTAGCTCCAGAGGCTCCGGGGTCTCATCCACCCACTGGGACTCTCTGCCCCCAGCCAGCTGAGCAGAGGACTCTGATACCCAAGCTCAGGGAGATTCTGGCAGCTCTGAGTACTTGGTGTGCAACTCTTTATCTCTTTAAGAATTCGTAGGATGTCAGGACCTGAAAAGATCAGAGCACCCAGGCCCATCCCCACTTTACAGATGGACACACTGAGGCCCAGAGAGGGCAGTGGGCCAGCCATGGCCAGAGGCACTCCTGACTCCCAGCCAAGGGGTCTGTCTGTCCGTGGCACCACACTGCTTTGGGCAGCCAGGGCTTCTGAACCCCACTTCCTACTAGGAGTCCCTCTCCCCTAAACCAAGGCCCCTAGTATCATCCCCCCCACACTCAGACAGGTGCTGAGAATCGATCTCATCTCCTCAGAGCCCCACATGCCACATGTCCTGATGGAGAAAGGGGACATGACCACGGGAGAATTTGAGCAGCACTTGAAGGGAAGAATGGACTTCATTAAAGGGATGAAGAAGGACAGCAGTGCAGAGCGAAAGGTGAGGGTGACGGAGGAGAGAGTCAGGGAAGCAGAACTGGGGTGGCATTAGGGACTTTGTCTTCGCTGACGACCAGTGAGACGGAGCCTGGGCTGGGGTCGGGGGACCTGCCTGAGATCACACACCAGGCAGGTGGCAGATTCTCGTCAGTGTTCCCTTTGGTGGGCTGGGGCACTGCGGAGCAGAAGTAAATGGCTTCCAGATGTGGCAGTCGCCCTGGTGCTGTCCTCATGCTTCCTGCCAGGTCACCTTCTAGTACCTGAGCCAGGCTGGTGGCAGAAACAAGGCTACTGTACCCCCAAGGGGCACCCAGGAACATGCAGCCGGCTGAACTCCAGCTCCTGCATCACTCCCAGGCCTCTGTCTTCCCACCGGTGGAATGTGTCTCTTGCTCTTCCTTCCTCTGGTCCTTGCTGCCTCTTACATAAGCAGTAAAGGCAGAGCAAGGAAAGCTGGACAAAGATGCCTCCTCTCTGCCGGTCCTCTCCCCCGTGAAGCTGAAGGAAGAGAGGCCCTCAGCAGAGGTGCTGGAGTGGGGGTGGGGAAGGCAACGGTAGGAGGCTGAGCCAATGGCCACAGATGGTACCAGCAGTCTCTCTCCCACTCGTGACCTTGCACGCCAAGCCGGGTCCTGCATTCCAAGATAGGTTTAAGAATGATGTCCCACTGCTTTTTCATTGTCTCCCCTTCTCATATGAGAAAACTGAGTTTTAGCACCCTCCAAATATCTGGTGAGCCGGGGAAAGGGGAAGACTGTCCTCTTGGGAGTTGGCTTTGGTGGCAATGAAGCTGAGGACTTAGACTAGATAGGTGGGACAGCTACGCTGGATTGAAGAGCCCCTCCCACTCCTGCTGGCCTGACTGACAGGGGCTGGTGGCAGCTGAGCGGCACACAGGAACACGTAGACTGCTCAGTGCTTACCCCGAGTGTCAGAGACCCCCTGGAGGCACCTGCTTGGTGGGGGTGGGAAGGGTGAGAAGGGGGAGGTGCAGATGGCTCAGTGCCCATCATGTCGTCACTGTGTTAGAGACCCCGCTGGAAAAAGCTATTCTCTGAGAGGTGCCCCCTCACCCAGATGGGTCTGTTGGGAGAAGAGGCTGAGCCAGGTTCTCAGAGTGGGGGCAGCAACGCCAGGTGTACCGCCGAGCTGTGAGGACAACCGTGCATGGACAATGCTCGGGGGTGGGACCAGCAATGGGCCTCCCAGACCTGGGGCCGGGTCCCCTGCCTACCAAGCCTTAAGTCAGTTAGCTCCGAGACCACTGAAGCAAATGAGAATTAATTTGCCACCTTGGGTTGGTTATGCAAATACCCTGTATTCTCATGAGCTCAGGGATGACAGCGATCAACCCGAAGCTGCTGAGGAGTGATGAGTTTATTGGAATTAGATAATAGCAGCTTGAGGAGCCCGGGGCCCCATCCTGGAGATGGCTCTTTTGACTGACAGATGTGGCCGTTCCTGCCTTGGGCTCTGTCATCAAAAGAGCCAGGCCGGGCATTGGCTTTCTGCAAAGGAGCTCCATGCAGGACGGAGAGTGTGATCCTTTGCCAGGCAGGAAGGTGGACATCCAAAGGGTGTACATCAATCAGGAAGAGTGGGGTGGACAAGCTGTCAAAAACTGTGGTTTAGCAAAGAGGGAGCAAATGACACAAGGAAAGACACCACGTAGAAGTGATGAAGATGCAGCAAGAAGCAGAGATAAACAGAGACTAAAAAAATTGTTTTAAAACATGCACACACAAGTCAGTGGCAGACAGACACACACAGGTTCATTCTCTCATTTATTCATTCAACCCACACTGCGTGCCCAGTAGCTGTCAGGCTCTGTTCTAGGCCCTCGACAGGCCACGCTGAAAACGACACATCCTTGTTCTCATGGAGCTTACATTGTAGCCCAGGAAGACAGACAAGAAGGAAGCAAATGAGCAAGGTCAGTTTGGAGAGGGCTGGGGAGCATGACAGAAATAAAACGGGATGATGCGGTAGTGAGCGACAAGCACTGGATGCTGATCAGCCAAGTGCCTAGAAAAAGGCCATCTGAGAATGAGACCTAGTGAATAGTGAAGAACTGGGGTAGAATAACGATGACATGCATGGAAAACAGAAAGGCATCCAGTGTGATGGAACTGTAGGGAGCAGAGTGGGCCAAGATGCGGTGGACAGACAGGTGGGGGTCAGGTCCTAGAGGCCTTCATAAGCCATGGTGCAAGGTGTGAGGAGAAGCTATTGCTTGAGGAAGAGAATGACAAGAATGATCTTGACGCCTACTCTACATCGAATGGACCACGGGGAGGTGCAATGGAGGAAAGAAGCCATAAGAGGCTATTGCAGGAGATGATAGTGTTCTGAACTTGGGTGGTGGCAGTGGAGACAGAAAAGAGGACACATTAAGGATGTATTTTGGCTGCAGAACCAGCAATCCTCTGCTGAAGGAGTAGTTGTAGAGGGTGTGAAAAAGACAGGAAGCAAAGACAACTCCTCGGTCTTTGGTTTGAACACCTGGGTGAGTGACAGTGTCATCTACTGAGTTGGAGAAGAGACTCAAATAGAAACCAAAAAACAGGCACAGAGAGACATGTCCACCCAGAGACAGTCATGTAAAGAGACAGAGAGCAACTCGGGATGGAGAGAGAGGGAGGAAGTGACCGTTGGTGGGGAGTGAGTGGAGAGTCAAGGAGGGTCCAGCATCACATCTGCCAAGAGAACACATTAAAGGGTAAAGAACTATGGCGCTGTTCTTCCCTTGTTCACTGAGCCCATCTCTGCACCATGCTCTGTGTCAAGCCCTAGAGATGCAAAAGAGACCCAGGTGTGACCTACCTTGAAGTAACACACAAGCTAGTGGGGAGGTGGAGATATGAGCAAAAAATCACAGTGTGGGAAATGCATGGGCCCCGTGACAAATGCCAACAACAATGATGGCTACTGTTCAGAGACAATGACTCTCAGGCAGCAGGCTTCACAAGCATTGCAGTTATTCCATCCAACTCAGGGAAGCATATACTCTTGTCCTTATTTCACAGATGAAGACACTAAGTAATTTAGTCCACCTGGGAGATTGGGGCAGGTTTCCCAAAGAGGTAAAATATGAAGAATGAGTAGGAAGTTATCCATGGGAGAGAGTCAGTAAACCAGGGAAACCAAGGTCACAGCCAGAGGAGCCAGAGAGTAGCTCCTGCACTGAGTATGAGAGAGAAAGAACCCGCCATTCAGCTGAAGGCCTGCAAGTGTGCCAGGACTGCCCACCTGTGTGCCCACCCAGTTCATCCTCACCACCACGCTGAGGAGGAAAAAGTAATTACCTCATTTTACAAATGAAGAAAGAGACCCACAGGAGGGACTTGTTCAAGATCACAGCTGGATGGTGACAGCTGGGATTCGAACACAGGTCCTCTGCCTCCAAAGTCCATGCTTGCTGTTGCAACCTGTGAAAATCTAGCAAACAGAGAAGCCAAGTAGAGTCAACCTGGGTGTCTCTCATGCAGGGTATGAGTGGCATCTTGACAATACTTAGTGAGTAATAGAAGACCACATGAGTAGCAGTGAACCCCATGAATACCCAAGTGAGAGCTTTTCTTTCAACCCCAGACAGAAATCATCCGGAAACGCCTCCACAAGGACATTCCCCACCATTCTGTCATCATGCTCAACTTCTGTCCCGACCTCCAGTCAGTCCAGCCAAACTTGAGAAAGACCCATGGCGAGTTCATCTTCCTCCTCGACAGGAGCGGCAGCATGAGTGGGACCAACATCCACCGGGTCAAGGTACCTTCCAGAGGGCCCCTTGCCCCAGGGTCTAGTGCTGCAGGGTAAATCAGCTGTGCCCCCCCAGACTAGCTTCATCTGCACTTCAGTTCCAAGAATTTCACCTTCCACGCCTGAACCACTTTCCTAAATAGCTCTCCATGACCAAAAGGAGCAGCAACTCTTTAAAACCTGTTTGAACAGAGACACCCAAACTCAATGTGCTCTCAGAATGAACCCCTGATGTGATGTGAGCAGAGGTAGAACTATTGTTCATTTACAAGGGTTGACATCATCAACATCTTTCCTGGATGTTCTATGACCTTTGTTGAGTGCCGCCTCAGGCCAAAACACCTCAGTAGGTACTGTGGAGGGGGATACAACTGGGTATTGAATCCAGACAATAATCCTATGAGGTTGATCCTGTTGTCACCACTTTCCAAAGGAGAAACCCCATCCTGAGAGTTTCCGTAATCTGCCCAAGGTCACACAGCTAGTGTAGTCTAAAACTAACCCCATTCCCATCTGTCCCTCTGTCCCTCTGACCTGGCATCAGAGATTCACTGGGCATGGCCCCTGCCATCAAGGAATGTAATGAATCCAGTAGAAGAGATTTGGTTCATCTTTTTTTTATGTCTAATATGTGCACCATTCTGTGCTTGGCCATCTGAAAAGACAGCAGGTTGCAAACTCAGTTCCTGCCCTCAAGGAGCTCACAGTCAAGCGAGGGGCACAGCCCTGCTAACCAGCCACACCTGGAGCATGGTCCCACTGCCATGGAGAGTTCTGCTGGGTGCAGAAGGCAGAATAGGAAACCTGCCCCCAGACATCCAAAGGCATTTCCTCTCCCTCGGGAGATTATTCACCTCAATTTTGGCATCACCCGACACTGCCTTGCATTTTCAGTTGAGCAGATGTCTGCCCCCTCCTCTGGAGTTATAAACTCATTAATGGAAAAGACTGGAAATTTTTCATTTGTTACTTCCCATGGGGCCTACCTCTGTGTTCAGGCATAAAAAAGCCCTCATTTGTGTTTTATGGAGCTGGGTAAAGAATTACAGTTCAAAAGAACAAGGGACAGGGAACAAAAAGGGAGAGGGCTCTGTGTCACCTGCAATTTCGCTCCTTCCCCAGTTTGTGCCTGGGGCAAACTCTTGTTTCCAGGGTAACAGGATCTGCCAGGATGGGAAAGGTGAGGTGGGATCTGTAATGCCAGCTAACACCTCTGCCTTGCTATGACTGGGTTTTGTCTTGAAGTATGAGAAAGCAGTCATATATAGGACCTAAGTTCCTGTCTGAGGCCTCTTAACACTGGGTTGTGGCAGTGGTTGGTACCCTTCTCCACCCCTGCCCACCATCAAAGCAAATGTTGGGATGGGGAGCTGTCCACGGTGCTGGGGTGCTGAATCACAGTCCAGTGCCATGTGTACTCCATTCCATTCCACAGCTGTACCAGTCTGTTAGATGTCTCCACAGGTACTCTAAGCATCACGGAATAATGAAACATTCCTTAGAGACATTCAATACATTTTCCCGGTAAGGAAATTGAGTCCCCAAGAGGCTGTTTTCCCCAATGTCACAGTACTAGTGAGGGAGCGTAACTAAGCCTTCCATACCCTGGTTCAGTGCTCATTTTCCTTGCGTTAATGATAGGGAATTGTACCCACTTTTCCCCTAAGAAAAGGTCTCTTTTCTGATTGTCTTCTGAGGCATGGCTTAGCACAAGAGAAGTGCCTGAGTTCCAGGATCAATTCTGCCACTGATTTGCTATGTGGATTTGAACAAGCTGATTCTCAACTCTCAGCTTCATTTTTACTTTTTATAAAGTGAGAAGAAAAGATTAATATAGGAAGGGCAAACATATGTCATATGCCCCTCTGTCCCCCTCTCCCAAGTCCAAGCAGACATCAATAATTCGCCATGACTTTTTTTTCATGGTGAGTCTAGACTCAGTCTCTACAGTCTTCTCATCTCAGTGGTCCAGGTCATTACTACCAGTTAAATGGAATTGGCTTTTGAGTGGGAATTTATTTCCTGAGCTAAATACCTTTCCAACCCTGAAATTCCAGAATTTTCTGGTGAGAACTTCCTCTGGGGCTCCTCACACAGTCCCCTCCCCCCAAAGTCTCTCTAGCTTTCTTTTCCAGTTCAGCTCACTGACCTCAAGGTTACCCTTTCACAAATGGCCCTGCATTGGCACAATTCATTCTGCTGCACGTGCCCATTTTAGAAAAAGGCACAGAAATTATTCAGGCTGCACACACCCCATTCCCCACTGACACTGAGGCCACTGGGGGGTTGCTTTCATCATTAACTGTGGCCCATTGGGTTGAAGTTGTAGGGAAAACTGGGCTTAAGGAGGTAGGAGAGAATAGAAATCCAAACAGCTATGCCAAGGGGAAAGTTCAACCAATTTAATTTCCTGCAGCTGGTCTCATTCTTCAGCTGCCACTTGCTGCCAAAACCATGGCTTTGAAATTTCTAATAGGTGTGAGCAGAGACAATCTGTATGGATCAGCAGTATCTCCCACCAGCAGGAATCTACATTAGTGGCTAATGAACAAATAAGTGGATATGGACTTACTTCATAGAGAGACAAAATGTATTGGCACAAGCAACAAAGAGAGATGAAGAGAACGTTAATGTTAATGTTTACAGAGGGGAGTGGGGGAAGGGCTGCAGGTCCTTACGGTGCGGGAGTTGCCAGGATCTGCTTACAGCTGTTTACTTCTAGTTTCTGGAAGATAATAGTTTGTTTTGCCGAAGCCATGCTGAGATCTCTGAGCTGCCATCAGCAAACTGTACGAGGATAAGGCAGAGCACCCCCATTCCTGAGTTCTGTGCCAGGGCAGAGCCAACATGAATAAAGACTCGGAGCTGTGTTGAAAGCCTCAGCCCTATTCTAAGGTTTTGTGACCCAAACCCTCTGAGCCTCAGTTTCCTTATCTATAAAATAAAGGTATTCATATTAATATGCATGTCATTGGGTGTGTAACAATAAGCATTTCCTGACTGTTTTCTACGTGCCAGGCCGAGGTTCAGAGAAGCAATGTAACTAGCCCAAGGTCAAGTTAGTCATGGTAAAGGTGAGATTCAAACCCAGATATGTTTAAGGCCAAAGTGAATCTTCTTAATGACTGTTAATAGAGATTAAATACTATAATTAATATAAAGTGTTTATCACAGTGTTTGACATATAGTGATTGCTTGCTATTTATCATGGCATTGTATCAGCATCCATATCATCATTTTCCCTCCTGTTATCTCCACTTTTCTTCTTTGTCATTATTTTTTCCAAAATACTTTTATCAAGATCCCCTGGTGTTGCCTTGTTAAATAGGTTAAGACTCTAATATGCACAGATTGTGGGGGCAAAGTGGCACGTGTCTGGGCCCTGGGTCCACTATGTACTCTCTGCTCCCCAACAAGTCACTCGCCTCTCTGCCACTCATGTTCTCTTGTATGAAATGGGGATAATATTGTGCTGCTTCATGGGTTACCGTAAAGATTATATGCAGGTAAAGCACATCCTAAGTGTTCAACAAATATGACCTAAGGAGACTGTCCCAAAGGGATTTGTCCCTATTAATGACAATTAGGGTGATTCTTCTGCAAAAGGCCCTGGAGGACAGCCAGAAGCCTGTCCCAGCACCACCGTGACCAGGATGAGGCCACCTCCCTCCCTTAGACATCGATTCTCTTTGGGCAGAGAGGAGTGAGTGCTCCTTGCTCTTCCTACCTCTCAGGGTCGGCAGAAGGTGAGATAGAACTGGCAAGCCACCACAGAATGGTTTTGAAAAGTCAGACTCGCTACACGGATGAGAAATTTTATGATGATGGCTTTGGTCCAGCCTCAGCTCAGCGTCAGCAAATTTCCTGATCTGGGGGAAAAAGCAATGTTGGGTGCAGGTGGGGAGGGGAAGGGGGCAGAGGGCCTGTTTAGAGACAGATTCTGTGCTGGGACGGGGGTGGTGAAAGTCATAATTCCTTCCCAAATCCTGAAAATCCCTTTCTCACCTGCCAGGATGCCATGCTGGTGGCTCTTAAGAGCCTCATGCCAGCCTGCCTCTTCAATGTCATTGGGTTCGGATCCACATTTAAGACCCTCTTCCCTTCCAGTCAGACCTACAATGAGGTAAGGAAGGGCGAGGCTGGGACCAGGAGGGTGTGGGTGGTGAGGAGCAGAGGAAAGGCAGGAAAAAGAAAGAAGGTCCTGCTCACAAGCTGCCCACCCTTATAGGACCTGGATGATACTCAGGTGCGAAGAACTAAAGAGGGGCTAGCTCCGTTTGGGCAGTTTTCTGACATCTCAGCCTTCTGACACCCTCCTCTTTAAGATGAAGAATATGTTGGGCAGAGTGTGGGGCACAGAGAGGGGTATAAGGGGAGGGAGGAAGAGGATACGCATGCCAGGCCTGCTGCTCACTGAAACCTCTGTCTCATGGGAACGATAGATTCATGCAAGGCTGAACTAAGTGACCAGCGAGGGGTAGCAGAGTGAACAGGTGGATAAGTGGGCTAAGAATGGGTTCACAAGGCTCAAGCTACAGTTTTAAACAATAGGGCTGTGGCCCCAACAGCCTGTTCAAAATTGCAGCATCTTACCCAGGTCTAAGAATTGCAAGGAAGGAAGGAAGGAAGGAAGGGAGGGAGGGAGGGAGGGAGGGAGGGAGGGAGGGAGGGAGGGAGGGAGGGAGGGAGGGAGGGGGGAGGGAAGGAGGGAGGGAGGGAAGGAGGGAGGGAGGGAAGGAGGGAGGGAAGGGAGGGCTTAGGGGCCACTTTTCAATTTAAAATGCTTATGGGTTTTTTAAATACAAAAATAATATATGTTGATCATCTCACAATCTTTAAAGCTAGATAATAAAAATCATAAATCTGGCATGATCACATCTGTCAGGGGGAAAAAAAAAGGAAAAACAATGTTAAGAGCTTGGAATAAATCCCTCCAGACCTGGCTTTATGCACTTACACACACTTTTCATAAAGACAGGATTAGGTCTTCCAGAAACCACTCTTCTAACGCAGCAGCCTGTCGTGAGCCTATTTTCATGCCATTAAGTATAAACCTGCAACACAGTTCTAGTGGCAGCCTACTATTGCACTACAGCGACAGATTGTGGGACTTGTTTAACTAAAGCCCCTACAGCTGGGAACTGAAGTTGTTTCCTTGTTGTTGTTGTTGTTTCTTATTATCTTTGTATGAAAGACTTCACACGCATCCTTCATGATTCCCTTGGGATAAATTTCTAGTCTTGCTGATTTAAAGGTACACACACATTTTAAGACTTTGGACATTTCTGAGCACGGATGTTGGAAGAGCATCTTTCTGAGGCAGGCGCAGGAGGATGTGTGATGTCCAGTAGGAATCTATCCATCCAATGTCGACAATCCTTGGCCAGAAAGGAGATTAATTGATATACCACGAATGGCAGCATGTCAGGCATTGGGCAAAACCAAGACAAATAAGTAATCACCTATTTCTCCTGCATGTGGGGCAGAGATGAAATTGAGAACAGGACTTGACTCTAGTGTGGCTGAACTATTATTTAGGGCAGCAATTTTCAACCAGCATGCTTCAAGAATTTTTAAAGCGTGCACATGTGGCTATTTAGTCAGGGTCACTGACCGCTTCCCCTTAGATGGTCAAGTAAAAACATGACAATGGCCAGCACAACAATGGCCATCCTATGTGAATGGATGTGACAAAAATCATACCTATTTTTTGTCACATTGGCAAAAAATATATTTTGCGGTGTGCTTTGGTTTATATGTGCAATGAGATGAAAACGGTTGAAAATTGCTGACCTAGTGGAACTAAAGGACTCAAGGACTCATCCTCCACGAGGCCTAGGGTCTCTGCGTCACAAGGTGACCCTGGGAATTCTCTGCCCTGTCCATGTGCCCTTCCTGCAGGAGACCTTGGCCATGGCCTGTGATAATATTCAGAGAATGCGGGCTGACATGGGTGGCACCAACCTCCTCTCCCCACTCAAGTGGGTCATCCGGCAGCCGGCGCACCAAGGCCACCCGCGGCTTCTCTTTGTGATCACAGATGGGGCGGTCAGCAACACCGGGAAGGTGCTGGAGCTGGTGCGGAACCACGCCTTCTCCACCAGGTTGGCACAGGCCGAGGCTTGGGGCTTGGTTCTCCTGGGTTTCCCTGGGCTGGGATTTCCAGCACCCTGGACAACTTGGAAAATGCCAGAAGGAAAGGAAGGAACCCCATAGTGCTTTGCTTTCAGGGGGGTGTGGCTGACTGCAAAGTTAGGTTTTCCCTTGGAAAGTGCAGGAGGTATGAGGTGCTCACACCCCCACGTACAGCTCCCAAGGGGCAGCCTAGGCAGAAAAAACCCTTCCTGCTGCTTTGACTCTGGGCTGGGGCCAAAGTCATGGGCTGTATGTGTGAATGTAAATGCCCTCTGAAGGCCTTCTGCCCCCTCGCTCTTCTGGATCATGCTTTCCTGTCCCCATCAGGGGACGAAGATGGCAGAAAGGATGGGAAGTAGCAGCCTCTCTCCTCCCCTTTCCATAGGTGCTATAGCTTTGGAATTGGACCCAACGTCTGCCATAGGCTGGTGAAGGGGCTAGCAACAGTGTCCAAGGGCAGTGCTGAGTTCCTGGGGGAGGGGGAGCGGCTGCAACCCAAGGTAGGTGGAAGGACCCTGACTGCTCTCGTGTTGGGACCTCAGAGGCCCAACTGGTCAAAACAACTCAGTGGTGTGGAGTAGGATTTCACCCCAAATATGAGCTTTCCACGAGGCCACACTGCACCCTACTGAGAGTCAGAGGGGTCGAAGCCACAGAGCAGGCAGCTCAAGAAGCTGGTTCAGGGCTCTAGATCCCTGGGTCTCCAGCCACTGGTCCATCCATGAGCTGGGCAGGACTGGGGCCCCTGGAGGGTCACTGCATTTTGTGGGATTGCATTTGGAGTCGTTTCTGGCCATGTTCCTGATGGGGACAAATGAGGGCTCAGAAGTAACTAAAAGGGCCCAGAAATCAAGGGGCTTAGAATCTCCTCTCCATTTTCTGCACAATTGGCCCAAATAAACCAACTCCTAGAAAATCCCTGTTTCAGTTCAGGAACCAGAGACAGCTGGAGTTGAGAGTGCAAGAAGTTTATTGGAGGGTAACATCTGTGAAAGAGAAAAGAAGAGGAGGCAGGAAGGAACATTCACAGTTTGTGGCCCAGATGCAGCACCTGTGAGAGGAAAGGAAGGAAGGAAGCAGCCTCGGGCAGGGAGAGCCGCAGACTGCAATGCCAGTCTGACAAGGCCTCAGTCGACCCACTGGGGAGCGAAGATCGCCCATCACGGAGTCTGTGTTGGGCTGCAGTGCCAGGCACTAGAACTCCTGCTACGCTCAGTGGTTGCCAGGACGTTTCCAGGGAGAGGCGGGTCTTGGCTCCAAAGCTGGGGCTTTGCATCTGGAGACTCACCTAACTAACAGTCTCTCTTGGAGGGAGATTTGAGAGTACACCTCTCTTGGCTCCGACAATCCCCAAATCCTATTTCTCCAGCCTCGCAGTACGTCTGAGGAAATCGGCATACGTGATGCCAAACTATAGCTGTCATTTATTGAATACCTATTAGTAACAGATTCTTCAAATCCAGTATCTCAGATAATCCTCCCAACGATATGGAGAGTTAAGAATTCCTATCTCAGTTTAACAAACGAGGAAAACGAGGCCAAGGAAAGCAAATCGATTGGTTCAAGATCACTGTCTAGTCCATGTTTTGACACAAATTTTGTGTGCCCTGCACTAATCACAACCCCCCTTTGAGTCTCGGATTTTCTCATTTATAAAATGCTAAGCTTAGAGAAGACGAACAATAAAAATTTGTTCCAACTCTGACATTCTAGGAGCCTCAGAAGCGGCATGTTCCCTGGTAGGTAAGCCACCTGAAGGCCTCTTGTCACTTCCCTGCTCGCTTCCCCATATGGTCATACCTGCCTGGTCTTTGTGCTTCTCACCTGGACAGAGCCCTACTCATGCATGTCCCCAACCTGTGTTCTGACCCTGCCCAACAGATGGTCAAGTCCCTGAAGAAGGCCATGGCCCCAGTCCTGAGCGACGTGACTGTGGAGTGGGTCTTCCCTGAGACCACCGAAGTGCTGATCTCACCCGTCAGCACCAGCACCCTCTTCCCTGGAGAGCGGCTGGTGGGATATGGCATCATGTGTGATGCCTCATTATACGCCTCCGACTCCAGATCTGTAAGTATCTCAGGGTTGCCAGGGGTCCGTGGGGGTCCAGAGGCCTGCCCCCAACGCTGTCCTAGCTGAAAAGATTGGTCACAGCAGGTAGGAACGAGCTGGATCCGAGTTACAGTTGTGCGGTATGGCTGCCAGGCCATGGGCGTTCAGTCAGGGTGACGCTGCTTGAGTAGGTGCTACCATCTCAGTGGGCGGTTCTCCAGATGCTCTTCAGCAGAAGATCGTGGGGAACACGTTTACATTGCAGCGTCCTAGCTCCAACCTAGGTCCACTGATCTAAAAATCTCTGAGGATAAGGCCTGGGAACCTTCATTTCACATAATCTCCCCAAAGTAATTTTGGTGAACAACTTAGTTCAGAACCACTACACTCAGGTTTCCTTCTGGGGACACTCTAGTCAGGGCCTAGCTCCCGCGATGAGTCGGTGTGTTATTGACTTACACAGATGACTTTTCTGTGTGGTGGCAGAAGGGGAATAAAGTGGGGAACTTCTGAGAGGGAGGTGAGATTTATGCTGAAACGCGTGAGTTTCCTGAGAAGCTCGCTCTCCGTTCATCTTCCCTTTCTAGCGCGCCTCTCCACTGCCCCTGCAAGAATGCATCCACTTGCTTTGTATTTAAGCACAAGCCACAGAGTCAAAGCCTAGAGGGATTGGGCAGATAGAAAATGAGTGGAATGGACTTCCACCAAGATGGAGATGTAGGTGGAACCTCCTTGCCTCTGTGCACAACCAAATCTAAGAACAACTATTTTTAACAGCAATAAACGCAACCAAGCCACACAGAAAATCGACAATATGGAGTCCAAAGACAACTAAATGCTCAGCTAAACCGGTAGGAGGAGCGAAGCCAGCAGCGGAGCAGGTTGGCAAGAAAAAATCCCCGAACGGGTGGTGTGAGGCGCTGATCACGGGCTGGCTACGGGAGCGCACAGGGAAGAGGCGCGGCAGGCTGCCTGCGGTTGGTCGCGCATCTGCGTGCGGATAAACCAGTGAGAAGGGAAGCTTGTGCGGGGCAGCAGGCTCGCACAATTCAGATCGGATAAACAGGCCCGGGGCGAGTGGTGTGACTGGACGGACTGGGCGAGCGGAGAGAACCGCCATTGCTCCCTCTCTGACCACGCCCACACACACAGCATCACAAACCAGCGACCTGGGTCGCCCCGTCCTGGTAAACATCTAAGGCTTCACTCCGCTTACTTAACGGCAGGAATAGACCAAAAATGGCTCTAGGACAACTCAGAGCCCCAGAACCGATAGATCTAAGCGATGAAGAAATAGCCAGCCTTTCAGATGCACAGTTCAAAACACTGGTTATCAGGATCCTTACAGAACTGGTTGATTTTAGTCACAAATTAGAGAAACATATGGAAGCTAAACTAATTGAAATGAATGGTAATACAAAGGAAACCAATAGTAATGGAAAGGAGATTGGGACTCAAATCAAGGGAGTGGACCAGAAGGAAGAAAAAAATGATCAAACAGAAAAGAATGAAGAAATAAGAATTCAGAAAAATGAGGAGAAGCTTAGGAACCTCCAGGACATCTTTAAACGTTCCAACATTCGAATTATAGGGGTACCAGAAGGGGAAGAGTCACGAGTGGAAACCTTATTTGAACAGATAATAAAGGAGAACTTCCCCAATCTGGCAAAGGAAATAGACTTCCAGGAAATCCAGGAAGCTCAGAGAGTCCCAAAGAAGTTGGACCCAAGAAGGAACACACCAAGACACATCATCATTACATTAGCCAAGATTAAAATGAAGGAGAGAATCCTAGAAGCAGCAAGAGCTAAGGGGACAGTCACCTACAAAGGAGTTCCCATCAGACTGTCAGAGGATTTCTCAAAAGAGACCTTACAGGCAAGAAGGGACTGGAAAGAAGTATTCCAAGTCATGAAATCCAAAGACCTACAACCAAGATTGCTCTACCCAGCAAAGTTTTCATTTAGAATGGAAGGACAGATAAAGTGCTTCTCAGATAAGACCAAATTCAAGGAGTTCATCATCACCAAGCCCTTATTATATGAAATGTTAAAGGGACTTACCTAAGAAAAAGAAGATAAAAAAAGATGAACAGCGAAAGGACAGCAAACTCACAGTAACAACCACACCTAAAACAAAAGCAAACTAAGAGGACAGCTAGAACAGGAGCAGAACCATAGAAATGAAGATCACATGGAGGGCTAGCAACAGGAGAGTGGGAGGAGGAGAAGGGGGGAGAAGGTACAGAAAATAAGTGGCATAGACAGTAGATAGAAAATAGATAGGGGGGAGGGTAAGAATAGTAGGGGAAATACAGAATCTAAAGAATTTGAGACACGTGTTCATGAACTGAGGGGGGAGGTGGTGGGGGAGGGGTGTGCGGGGTGGAGGGGAATGGAGGGGGGGAATAGAACAAATGTAATGGCATAATCAATAAAAAAGTTAAAAAAAAAAGAAAATGAGTGGAATGTACTTATTGTAAAAGTAAAAGGGGTAGATGCCATGAGGGATAGCAGTTATCACTGTGTTCATAAGAGAGGCAATAAGGAGTGGTAAGGAGTATAGCAAATGGGATAGCTCATGCCATCAAAATTAGGCAGCCCTTACTCAGCTCTAAGAAACGTTGCTGTGCAGGACTGTGGGACCTGTGTTGAATGTGTTTCCAATATTTCGAGAGCAGTTAGAATTTTTTGTGAAATTTCCAGATTCTAGAATGTTATGAAATCTCTTAAGAGCCACGGTCAGTCATGATAAATGTGTTCTGGGGAGTGGCGTGTTCAGGTGCAGGGAGAAAATGCTGAATAACGTGCTGGTCAAGTCTTTGCACAGTCTAGACCCTTCCTGGAGTTCTGGGAGGCAGCAGGTGCATCCACAGACCCTACCACCAGAAGGGACCATCGGTCTCCTTTCCTCACCCCCAGTACCAGCACTGTTTTCTTGAGTGACTAGTAGGGCTGTTGGGTAAGGGCTACCCTCATACCTTATTGGTGTGAACGAGCCTTGCCCTCCTGGAAAGCAATCTAGAAATAACTCACGCAATTAGAAAGAGGTAACTTTTCAACCCAGAAATTCCTTCTAAGGACCTACCACATAAAAATAAAAGTGATATCATGGAGTTATGTCCAAGGATTTATTGTAGCATTTTCCATGATGGCAAAAAAAAAAACATATGGCTGCATATCGATGCCCCGTCTCTCTCAAAATGCTGTTTGATGTCACCTGAAGCAGGAAAATACCATGAAAGGCATGATCACAAGTGACAAGAATAGGAACTTCTCATCAAACTTAGTTATTGGGGTGGGGGGCGGCGACCATCTGTACATCTGAGCTGGTCAGTTCGTTTTCTAAAGTTCTTTTGTAAATTCCGGCACTTCATGTACCTCTTGTTCTTGCCCAAAGGAACTCACCTCCTCCCCAGAGCCCCCCAAAACTATTATTTGGTAAATCAACAAAAATGTGTGTCATGGGACACTATGGTCTCACATATTTATTTTAGCCGGACTGACTTTTATAAGTAATTTTCTCCTCTTTTCCTGGTCTGCGTTGGCCTCTTTTCTGCATCGGGTGATTCTTACTTTGGTTATCTGATCAGGCCCGACTTTCTGCTGAAGGACGAAAGTCAACAGAATGTTCTCTGCGTGTTTTGTATCCTCTGTTATCAACTCTTACTTATCAGTGGGTGACGCACGGACTTCTTGACTAATAACAGATTAAGTGGAAATATATATGTGACCACAAAGGGAATGCTGAACAATAAGCATTGTGGCGGTTAGATATTGTGCAGTCAAACGTTTCAATAAGAATAGTTGACATGCAGGACTCCCGAAATGTTTTAAGTGCAAGATTCAAGATGCTGCTAAATGTGAGTGATGGGGCCCAGTTTTTGTAGAACAAAAATGACCCCTAGGAGCCTTCATGTTTGATATGTGTGTTTATATTACGGAGAATGGAATGGAAGGAATAGATGGTTCATTTTGGTTACCTGTTTGGAGACAGCAGTGGCATTTAGAATTACTTTTTTTAAAAGTTTTGATAAAGAGGATAATTAAAAACACAAACAACATAAGCGATAATGAAGTCATTTCCACTCGCCATCTCTTAAACAGAGGAGTCTGCCTAGATTCCCCAAGCAAGCAAGACCCCAAGGTGGACTCTCCCCACCTCCTCCCGCTCTGCCCGCTGTACTGCAGATGGCCCTCCTCACATGCAGCCTCACTCCCGGCCCTCTCTTCTCTCCCTTCCTCCAGGACAAGAGGACTCGATACAGCATGCTGCACTCTCAGGAGTCCGGGAGCTCGGTCTTCTACCAGTCGCAGGACGAGGGGCCCAGCTCGGAGAGTGGAGACTGTGCCAGGAGCTTCGGGGCGCCCTTCGTCCAGAGGCAGGCCACAAATGCCCGGCCTTCCAGCGGAGACTCCACGGCCTGTCCTGGTGAGTCTGCCACTCCCTGAGCTTCGCTTGCTTCACCAGAAGCCATGATTGCTACACTTTACTGAGCGCTGACCACGTGCTAAACACTTTGTGCAAACAGTCTCATCAAGTAGTTAGCAGCGGCAGAGGCGGGTACTCCCTACTTTACAGGGGAGGACACTGAGACAGGGAACTGAAGTAACTTGGCTCAGCCCATAGAACTTGAAAGAGGTGGAGCGCAGGTAACGAGTGTAGACCTGTCTGCTTCCAGGGCCACTTTATGGTGTCAGTTTCCATCCAGAGGGTATGTACTGATCACTTACCCAGGCTAAGTCCTGAGCACAGTGTGGGAGCAAAGGTGACTCGAATGTGGCACCTGTTCTGAGGAGGCGCTCCGTGTAGTGAGAGAGATGCAGGTGGCCTGAGTTCTGATAGAAAGCAGAGGGACACGGGGCCACAGAAGGTTCTAGGCAGTAGCAACTGCCTGAGCACAGGTGTGGAGATGTAACACCAGAAAATGCACACACAACTGGCCGTCCTCTGCGGTGTTGGGAGAGCAGGTGGAACCTTGAAAAGGGAGCAGAAAGGAGCGCCTCTGGGCCACGGATGGGGGCCACGTCAGGCAGGCTTTTGAAGGCCAGGTGAGGGGAGGCGCTGGCACATGTTTCAGTAGTAGGTGAGCCGTGGAAAACTCAAGAGGTTTCCAAGCACGAAAAAGTAGTCAAGCTCCTCTCTTTCCCCACTCTGGTGTCTCCCCTGTCACCGGCCCTGTCCAGGTCTGGACCTCTCCCAGCGACGGCGGGCATACAGCACCAACCAGATCACCAACCCCAAGCCCTCCCGCAGGGCCGCCACGGCCAGCGACCCCACGACGGCCGGCAGGAGATACCCGCTGCGGAAAGCTAAGCTGCAGGACCTCACCAACCCGCCCAGCCCAAACGCCCCTCAGCGGCAGATGGATATGCAGGTACCCAGGCAGGGCAGGTTGGAGTTGGGTGCGGTCATGGATGGGGGTGAGCTGTGTCTCTTGCTTCAGCCAGAAGGATGGAGTCTGTCCACAACAGACACTGAGAAGTGAGTCATCTTTCTTTCTCTGGGCCTTCATCTGCCTGACCCCTGGTGACACCTTCTTAGTAGTGACACCCATTGGTCAGTGATATTGCCTATTCTCTGCACACAGCACTTCCCAGTTGGCCAGGAGCATCCCCCATCCACACTCCAATTAGCTTTTATAGCGCCCCTGGGAAAGGCGGGAGTGTGGGGCTGACCGGTCTGACTCTGTACAGAAGTGGAAATTAAGGGCCAGAGAGGTAAAGTGACTCATCCAGGGTCACACGGCTAGTCAGGAGGCTGCAACCCAGGACCCTCTGCCCGCAGAGACCTTGCTTCTCTCTCCATCACCTGGCACCTTCTGCGAATCCCAAGGGTTATGCCTTCTCCTGAAACAGAGGTCATCTCAGGGTCAGAGCCACAACAGGAGCAGTCGGCCCCTGTCCAGCTGGACCAGAGTGTCAGCCTCAGGACTGCGGATGTGATGATTCTTCGCTGTGGGGCCATCCTGTGTAGTGTAGAAATTCTAACAGCATCCCTGGCCTCTGTCAAACGAATGCCAGTAACACCACCACCCCCAGTTGTGTCAACTAAACATGTCTGCAGACATTGCCAAGGGTGCCCGGGGACAGGAGCAAAATCACCAGGTTGAGAAACACCGTCCTAAACCAATGGTGCCTGGGCTTCTCTGCACGGCTCAGCCCGTTTTCTGAAGAACGGGCTGCAGGTAGCTGCGTCACGGTCCATCTGTGGTTCCCTAGCAGCAGCCTGTGACCCCACCCCCACCCACCACCTCCATCCCTCCTTGCCTCCAAAGACACACAAGCCTCTATGCTCCTCAGCGGCAGACACCGCTACTTGGTCCCTAAGGCCCCTCTCTGTCCTTAACGAGGGGTGCAGTTGGGAGATGCTGGCCTTGGAGTCAGGCAGACTCTGCTCCTTGATCCTGTTACTTAACCTCTCTGAGCCCCAGTTTCTTCATCTATGAAGTGGGGAGATCAGCTTGTGCAGATGTTTGAGCTAAAAGCCATCAGGGGGTATTTACTGGGAGCCCACTGTGAGTGGAGGACTCTTGCAGGCTTGGGGTGACAAGAGGTCAAGTACCTGGTGCCACATGTGGCACACAGTAGTCGTTCTTTTACGCGCAGCTCTACTTGGCGCGAGCTTTGGGTGGCTTGGATTTTCTCTATCCTCCTTCTTGTCCGTCTTTGCTCATCGCTGCCCCATCCCCTACTTGGCTCCTTCCCAAATCTGATTCTCCCCAACACACTTGTACGAATGCACACGCACTTGCATGCAGATGGGCACACGCTCACTGCGGCCTCGGCTGCACGAAGGGCCGAACCTGAGACTGATCTGTCACCATGGAAACGGTAGCAGCTTCTGTTTCTCAGTGTGCTGGTGATGGTGGGGGAGAGGAGGGGGGAATCCCAGTTTCTGATGAGGGGGTGGGGTTAGGGATTCCCCCCAGACCCAGCTGCCCTGGCTGGGTAGCAGGTCCCGCTGAGGCCATCCTGTGAGTAACCAGCCCCTGTCTTCTTCCACACCCTGGTACCACCCCAGGACCTCAGGCCCAGAGGAGACAGGATGAGCACCTCCCCACCCCCCGTGCCAAGGAGCCCCCACTCATGGGGAGGTACAGTCCCCTTCCCAATAAATACCTAATAAAGACGAAAAAAAAAACCACTGTTAACTGTTGGCCTAAAAAACTGAGAAACACTTTTCTCTGTGCACTCCCATCTCCCACCAGGCAAAGCACGTGTTGCCAGAGACACAAAATCCATCTTTAATTAATTTAATATTCTTTAACCACAAAAGTAATACTCAGAGTTTGCAGTAAAAACCCTCAAACAGTTCAGCTGAGTATAAAGTAAAAAGAAAAGGACCTCTTTCCAGGCCCAGACCCACTTGGTTTTGACTGTTTCCTTCCAGAAACACTGTGCATGCTACACACATCTGCACACACACAGAGATGCTTCCAATAACCATGTACACAAATTTCTCTCCAAATTTCTTTTCTAATGACATCTTAATTCATTTTTAAATGCAGTAAAATTACTCATTGTGGTGAATAGCTCTATGAGTTTTGACAAATAAATAGTCCTATAACTCTGTCACAATAAAAATACAAAACAGTTGTAATTTTTTAAATATGTCATATCTTCCCATATTAGTTTAAAAAAAAACAACCATCGCTTTTGCTGCAGTGTTGCGTGGTGCACCAGCACGCGGACAGACCATAACTTATTTGCCAGCCCTCACTGAAGGACGTGTCAGTAGTTTCCGTACATTCACGAAACCCTTTTTAATGAACAATACTGCAACAAATAGAAATGTAGGGTGCATGTACATCAATATTTGCATCCCTGTCTATTTCCTCGGGATTCAGTTCCTAGAAGTGGAACCGCTGGGTCAAAGAGCTCGTGCCTTTTTAACATTGGTGGGGGGCACACGGCTACCATTGTTCTGCCCGACGTCTGTGTCAGAGAGCACTTCACTCCCAGTGCAGCCGAGACCCCATCTCCCCACCGACCACATGGGGTGTCATCAAACACTTACATACTTGCCATAATACGTAAAGCGGGGGAAATCCCAATTCATGTGAATTTAGATCAACATTCGAGAAGCTGAGAGTTTTTTCATGGGTTTATTGAATACTTTTTCTGTAAACTGCCTGTAAATGCCCTCAACCCATTGTCTATCGTATTGGGTTTATCATCTCCACCCCCGCCAGTGATTTATAAGAGCCTTTTCTTGAAAATGATCTTTGTTGTGCATGTTGCAAATATATTTTCCAGTTTACCCCTTGCCTTTGGATGTTTTTTGTACCAGGACAAGAATAGATAGATTAAATTTGCAAAACAGGACAGAAAGACTGGAAATGAAACTGACCGTGTCTGAGGGCTCTGTCGGCACAGAGGTGGAAACCAACAGACCCAGAGAGCCAACAAGGGCATCAGAGTCACCAGATGGTGCTGGAATTTGCACTATTCAAAAACTCAAGGAAAAGGCTGGTTTCTATTTCCTTACACGAAAATAAACTGCATGTGAGTCAAAGACTTAAATAAATGAAAAGACATCACAAACATTATATAGGAATTTTTATAATGCCAAAGAGCTTTTAAGCATGACATATAAAAAGGTAAGGAAAAAGTTAATTTTAAAAACACCCCCCACCCTGGCTGGTGTAGCTCAGTGGATTGAGCGTGGGCCTGCGAACCAAACAATCGTGGTTCGATTCCCAGTCAGGGCACATGCCTGGGTTGCAGGCCGGTTCCCTGCAGGCCAGTTCCCAGCAGGGGACGCAGGAAAGGCAACCATACATTGGTATTTCTCTCCCTCTCTCCTTCCCTTCCCCTCTAAAGATAAATAAATAAAATCTTTAAAAATAATAATAAAATAAAAAAATAAAGTAACTAATTAAAAAAACACCCCCCAAAGTTTTACACTTTATGGCAAAAATAAGTGAGTTTAGAATATTGTCCATGGTATGTGATTTTCCATGGTTTTCTGTGGTTTGGACTCAGTCCAGGGCTGGGATTATTCATGCTGATGTTTCTTGTGGCTGGTGGAGAGTAGGTCAATTGTCCTACCCAAGGACCTGGGCACTAAAAGGACCGTCCCCCAGGAGGAGCTGGGATGCCCAGGGAAAGAGCTGTGGCTGGGGTGGTGGTAAGGGAGCCAGCTTCCTCTTCCTCTTGCCCTCCTAGTCCTTCCTGAACAGTGGCCTGGACCTGTGCCAGGGCCCCAGACTCCGGGGTCCAGGGGCCCGAAGGCCTTCTCTGCTGCCGCAAGCCTGCCAGCCCCTCCTGCACTCTGGCCCCGAGACCCAGACCTGGAGCCCCATGAGAGAGCTGGATCTCGGGCCCAGCATGAAGCCTGCCTCAGACAGCCACAGCCCTGGGGACCTGGGTAAGTGTCCTCAGGGTCTGGGATCTGATCGGGGCCCGGGAAGACTCACTGGCCATGGCCTGACTCCAGATGACAGGCCTGGAGGACAGATGGCCTGTGCCCTTTGGGGGCTGGAAGGAGTCTGCTGTGGCCCCTTCCCCCGCTGAGGACCTCGCAACCTCACTCTTCCCCAATCGACCTGGCCCTGGGACTGCCTGTGTCCTTCCAGATGCACCGCCCCCTGCAGCTGCATTTCCCGAGCAGGGTCCCCAGTCCTGACTCTCTTAAGTGCCGGCTTCCTGGCGGGTGGATCTGCCCACTCTGGGGAACAAGCCCATGCCACCCCACCTGTTTTAGGGAAGCAGTTTCGTGTTCCCTGGGAGTGGGGAGGGGGTATTATACTGTACTTGCTTATGGGGGTCTGTACCTTGAGAAGGGATGATGTTCTGGGGAGTTGGCCCTCTGTCCCCCAGCTCAGAGCACTGTCCAATTGTCCCTTCACCCACAGAATCATCCCATCACCCCTCCGCCTTGGAGACAGAGACGTCCTCGGACTGGGAGCCCCTGGCCGAGTTCGAGGAGCAGGCCAGTACTGGCCGGCCAGCCACTCCAGACCCCGTGCTGGGCAAGGCCGTGGTCAAGGGCCTGCGCGGCACCCAACTTTTGCAATGGGAAGTGAGCTTCGAGTTGGGGCCTCCTGGCCCTGAGCGGGATGGCGGAGGTGACGCTGACCTTTGGAGTGAGACCTTCCATCATCTGGCGGCCCGCGCCATCATCCGCGACTTCGAGCAGCTGGCAGAGCGTGAGGGAGAGATTGAGCAAGGTGAGCGCTAGGGACCTTTGGCCTCCGAGCCCCGACCAAGGCCCCTCTCCACTAATCCCACCCCAGGAATTGGCCTTCCCCAACACCCCGCCCCGCCCCCCCCCCCCAGCAGAGCCACAGCGCAGGCTCCGCCTCCCCACTGCATCGCTGCCTCCAGGTGCTTCCCCTCCCGCCCAGCACCTTCCTCCAATGCAGCCCCGAGGCTCCACCCTCTCCTTGCTCTGCGCCCCTCCCCGCCCATCCCCATTCCTCCAGGAGCCGGTCTCTGGCAACCAGCCCTGGGCTCCTCCAGCTCTCCCACCCCCATGTGGCGATCTGTCCTCTCCTCTTCCTCCTCCTCCCCCTCTGCTGCTGGTCCCCACCCCTCCTCACTTCCCAAGGCTTGTCCCTATAGCACCTTCTGACACAAAATAATGGGGACAGCCCTATTCCGCCCTGCTCCTCTGGGACCACACCTACCTTCCCACACAGCCCCACCTAGGTGATCCACTCCTCACTCATCAACGCCACTTACTGAGTGGGGACCAGCTGGGGACCAGGCTTGGGACTGAGCATGGTGACCACCACATCCCTGCCCTTATCCAGAGCTTGACACAGACTAGCCGGGAGGCCGACAGGAATCAAATAAGTATACATGCATTAACTGACTGCATTTGTCCTAAGTGCTATTAAGAAGATACACAAGCGTACAAGAGATTGTATAACAAGGGTGGTGGGGGGAGCTAATTTAGTTCAGGGATTGGGGCAAACTTTTCTTAAAAAGTGACCCCTGGGACTGTGGTGGAGCTCACTTGAAAAATAGATAGATACAGGTATAAATAGAGGACATCTCTATTATTTGTTACAGTTTATGCTTTATGTATATATATGGCTTATATTTTACATTATTTGTATGTTTGTTGCAAATATTTCAAAAATAACAGAAGTAAAACCAATGAATCACTGAAGTAGTAGTCAGTGGAAGTTTATTGTGCACACATCAAAAAGACAGCTTGCAAACCAAGATCCCCCAAACCAAAACACAGAATGAGGCTCAGGGAATATTGCCAGAAAGAAGCTTATACAGTGAGGAGGCAGCAACAATTCATTCTTCGCAGTGATCGGTGATAATATTGGCATTTTCCGTGGTTACCTTACATTAACCTCGGGAAACCATTCAGGTTCCAGAGGCAGAAGCCAGAAATGGCCCAGGTCAAGTCAGTCTTGCAGAATCAACTAAATTAAATTTCGTTTGTATAACTGAACTGGTTTTGTCTACTCCGGGAATGTTCAAGGCCGATCTCAGTGTGGTTTGCGTTTTAACATTGTATATTATGTTATCCCCCCCCCCCGCCCCGGGAACACTTCACCTTATAGATTACAAACCGTGTCTGTCCTTTGGGTCCTTGGGCCCCTGACACAGCCCCTCGGGAGACGGCCAGCCACAACAACTGCCACCCTATTGAGTGGAAAGAGCTTGGGCCTTGGGGACAGACCATCTTAAGTCCTGATCTCAGGTCCATCTTTCACTCACTGTGTGACCCTGTGCTTGCCACAGTCCCTCTCTGGTTTTCAATCTTCTCTGCAAAACTGTCACAGTGGGCCCGACCACTGACACCCACTCAGCCAGGAAGCCTGCAGCAAGAGTCTCATCAGAAAACAGAAATACAGACGACACAGAGGGTTTTGTTTGTTTGTTTTTTAAATAACACTAGTTATTTAAGGGAAGTAATGACTTTTTATTCTTAGATGTCTTACCTCGTCTACATTAAAATGTCCTTACTTTATGAAATGATAATGGAGAATAATAATCTTGGGGTTTTTTTATGTCTTTAATTGGCAAGTTGGCAACCCCCTGATTTGAAGGATTTATTTAAACCTAAAGAGGGGAACCACTGGTCTAGCCTTCCTTTCAGCTTCCAGAGCTTCTGTGTCAGAGAACTTTGAGTCCACACAGTGACTCCAGCCTCTCCCTCCGCAGGGTCCAGCCGCCGCTACCAGGCGAGCGCCGTGCACACCAGCAAGGCCTGCAACATCATCAGCAAGTACACCGCCTTCGTGCCCGTGGACATGAGCAAGAGGCGGTACCTGCCCACCGTGGTGGCCTACCCCAGCTCCAGTAAGGCGGGTAGGTGGCCAGGGCACTCCTGCGGGCCAGGCAGGCGGGTGGGCTGGAGGAGGCAGCTGGGATACAATGGAGCACAGAGCAGCAGGGAGGAGTGCAAAGGTCGGCCTGGAAGCAAAAAGCCCCCAGTGGACAGTTTAGCCCCCACGGGCTTGTGAGCCTCCTCCCACGCCCTGCAGAAGGCTGGGGAACTGTCCCACTCCCTTCTTCCCACCAAACAAATAGGACTTCACTGAATGTTTCCAATTAGGCCATGATGATGTGCTCACCGTGGAAAATTCCAAAACACAGATAAAAGTGACTGGAAGTGACAGTGATCCAGAAATGAGTACTAATTACCTCCCTGGTGTGACCGTCCTTCCAGGCTTCTCTCTATGGATATCTACCTGTAGAGAAATCAAAGCACGGAATTTTGCACAAATCGGAACATGCCGGTTTGCGCTGTATCCTGTGAAATATGGGCGCAGAAAGGATCTTGCGACGATGGTGAATCTGCATCGTCACTCCAACAGCTTCGGCATCTGCCGATGCAGAGAATACCGTCATCACAATAGTTAGACAGCGCGTGTGTGTAGATAAGGTCCAGCAAAAATAGTGCCCCCTTTTATTACCAAATCTCTTATTACCAAATCATAAGCATGTAAATCTGTAACATAACAATATCACACTCAAGCACACCGTAGGACATTTTAGATGAAATGTTCAAATTAAAACTATAAATTATTACACCCATATTATTACCTTACCAACCACACTCAAGCAGGCCCCCCTCTAAAATTTTTTTTAAAAAAACTATTTTTTTAAAAAAACAGTTACCACTGAACTAAATAAATAAAGCTCAGAACCGTCCTCACAGCAGAACCCCTCGGGGCCTTCCGGATGTTATACACATCAGGAGGCACAAGGCTTCTCCAAAGTGTGTTTCCCAAATGAGCCCTTCATGTTTTAAAACATAGACCAGACTAGTGTTCTCCCAGAATGGGATTTCCCAAAACACACTTGGGTGCTGTGGCATCTCCTCCCTTTTGTCCATCCCCCGCTGGGGCCACCCTGGGACTTCAGGGGGCCGCTGTGGGAGGGGAGAGTGGGAGCTGGGGCTCCAAGGCAGCGGACTGGGAAAGAAGGGGAAAGCCGCCCTTGAACTACCTAGAAAACGTTGCCGCTGTCTGAGCGTTATCTCAGCAGTGCTATTTACCTGGCAGGGTGGGTATTAGCATCCCCATTTTTCAGATATGAAAACCAAGTCTCAGAGTGGTTAGCACCCTACCCAGCTACTAAAAGATGGGGCCGGGGTTCAAACCCAGGTCATTCTGGCTCCAGAGCTCACGGCCGTCCCTGTACAATGCCTTCCTCTCTTTGGAGTAACGACAGACCGAAGCCAGAATCATTCCTGCCAGCCCTGGGGAGGAGGCAAAGGGTGGGCCCAGTTGTACCCGGCTGACCCCGTCTCCTATCCTCCTGAAGGCGCTGCATCGCGGATGGTCAGCTCGAGGGTCCTGACCCAGCAGTGGCGGGGCAGCTCTGGGGCCTTCGGACGGTCGCAGACCATGCTCAGGGAGGACCTGGCGGCGGGACTCGGCAGATTTCAGAACCTAAGTAAGAGCCACTTGGGCCCTGTTCTGGAGCCCGAGCTCCTGAGTTGTCACGGCTTCCTTGTGTCCGAGGCCTCACTCCGAGTCTGCACTCTGGGCCCTTGCAGGGCCAGGGCGAGGCCAGACGCCCCCAAGTTCCCTGGGGCCTGAGATGAGCAGAGGGTGCAGCACACCCGAGCATGCCGCCCTCAACACAGCTTTGCTGGGAGAGGCTCCGGGAGCCGGAGGGCAGCGCGGCCCCTCCCCCGCTCGAGTGCCCACTCCATCCCTTCACCTCTGCCCTCTGATGGGCCACCAACCCCAGTGCCTGTTCCCTGCACTGAGTCCCCCCAGACACCAAATGCCAGGAAACCTAATAAATAGGGGAAAGCGGAGAGCAGAGAGTCAGGCCCATCTGTTTGGGTCCCGCCATCTGCTGCGTTCAGGGTTCTCAAGCTTCCTCTCCGCCCTCACTGATCCCACTGTGCCTGCTGCGTGGGTCCTTGAAGATCCACGACCTTTTGGTGACTCTGCACTAATTCCCAGGGTGGTTTTAACTCTGTGTGTGCTGAATGTCTGCGTGTCTCTCCGTCCCTCTAAGGACGGCCTGGCTGCTGCGCCCGTCCTCACCCCTGTCCTCGTGCCCTGGTGCGGACAGTGCAGCTCTCCTTCCTGTCTTCTGTGTGCACGGAGGGAGCGCACCAGAGGTCCCACCTGGCCACAAGCCCAGACACCCGGACCCGGACACGTGTTTTTTACCTGATGGACTACAAAGTTCTCACAGACATTGACGGGCTAAGAAAGGGCAGCGTGTGGGGGGTGAAGGAGCTTCAGAATGAACGAGTTCTGCCAACTCTAGCTCCTTCGGAGCCCCCGAGCCTGGGAACCCTGCTCTACCCCTGTGCTGTGCTGAGCCTCCGGTCTAGAGGAAATTGCTTTTATTTCTCCGTAGTTCAGCTCTCGATGGCCACAGATGCCACCAAAATCACAAATTCCTTCTTTTCGATTACCCTCTGACTCAGACCCAAGTGCCTGTGACTGCTAGGCTGTTACCCTGTCCCAGTCCCAGTCCCTTTCCCTCCCCAAGGGTGACAGTGGCTGACACTGCTGAGAGTTTCCTGTGTGCTGGCCACTGTCCCGGTTATCCATGTCTCCTCACAATCATCTGAAATGGTTTCTTTTATTGTGTCCATTAAGAGATGAGAAAACGGAGGCTCAGAGAGGGCAAGTGACTTACTCAAGGTCACACAGCTGATACATCGTAGAGCCGAGACTTGAACCCAGGCGGTGTCTGGCTCCAGAGCCCAGGAGGTTAACCGCCATGCTATTTGCCCCGCCTGGGTGCCTCACACATGCAGTCACTAGTTCACCCCCAGGCTGCCCCCACCCCGCCCCGAGCACCCAGTGATAAACGGAGCTTCTTGGCCTTCACAGAGCTGCTGACAGCTTCACAGGGTATCCGGGGCTTTGACGAACATGTTTGTGCACGAAGGTTTTTTCCATGATTCGGTTCATTCTTTTATAGCATATTCTCTATCACTCTCCATCTCCTGAAAGAACAATCCTAAGTATAATCACCCTGATTACTCATTTTGAACTACGTGCAATTATTACTCCCATTTTACAGATGGGAAAGCTGAGGCTAGAGCCTTCTGACAAGTCAGTGCCATGTTCTGGTGCCTCCTAGGGAGCTGGCACAAGCCCCTCCTCAAGGAGGCACAGACCTGGTGCCTCATGCCCACCTCTTCCCCAACCCCCACTCCTGCTCTCAGCCCCTGACCTGTTCCTGCTTCCCTGATGGGTCTGTAGCTCAGAGTTTTATTGAGCACATACTATGTGCCAAGCCCTGAGCAGTATCTCTATATCAACTCATTGAAGCCTTACAACAACACTGTGAGATAGATACTATTACCCCTCATTCACTAGCAAAACATAACAAAGTTAGTAAGTTTGCCAGGGTCACACAGCAGTCAGTGGGGAGCTGGGAGTGGAACCCAGGCGTCCTGACTCATAGTGAAGCACTGGTGGTATCTTCGGAAGGCAAAGACCCGTCCATGTACGGAAGGAACCCCTGACCTTGCTCTTGCTCTTCCAGCTCACCCCTGCCCCCCACTTCTGCAAATTCAGCCATCAGTCTCCTGCGGGGTGGGATGGGAGGTGGGGAAGGGAGGGCCAGGGGATCCCAGACCTCACCAACGTTCCCGGTTGCAGGAGCAGAGGAAAGCCCCACCTCGCCCTCCAGCGAGACCGCATCCCCCGGCCGTGAGAAGTCCATGGCTCCTGAAGGTACGTGGACAGACAGCCGGCTCTCTCCTCAAGGAAGATGATGGTGTTACTTGATCCTTGGGGTCGGGAGAGTGTCTTAGCCCAACGAGGTCCTCGGTGGCTCGTTTATTCCTCAAAGCAACTCCGTTCGAGATCAACAGGGACATCACCAATTTAAAGACGAGGAAAGTAAGACTCAGAGAGGTAAAGCGACTTGCCCAAGGTCACACAGCCAGTCAGTGACAGAGCCAGGCCTAGAATCAGGCCTCCCAATTTCTAGCCGAAGGACCATTCAACCACCCCACTCTGCCTAGAACCCTTTAGCAATGTACCATAGAAGGAAACTTGGTGTCCCCACTCAGGCACAACCGGGGGTGATATGAAGCTGCCACTGCAGCCACAGGTAACCTCCCAGAAGATGCCCGAGGCCACCAGCCAAGGAAACTTGGAGGCCTGTTGTTCTCACGCATGGACCGGTATATCTCACCCCTCCTGTGCCAAGCGGGTCAGAAACAGCCCTGCAGCCCAATGGCCGCCTCAGGCCCCAGGGTGCAGGCCAGCCCTGCCCTCTCTGGGCCTCTGTTTCCCCAGATGGGCAGTGAGCAGTTGGCCAGGGTTCTCTGTCTGGCAACAACTCTCATTCCGTGGCTCCCCAGGTCCTCTGCTCAGTCTGGCCACCAACACCCTCTCTTCCTTGAAGACCCCTGAGACTCTGTTTGGATCCAGGTACGTGGGGCTTCCATTGGGGTTGCACTACACCCCCACCCATTTTCCAGGGGCTCTCCCCGGCTTGGAAGGCCAAGCCCGACATTTAGACACAAATGAATAACCCAAATCGAGCCTAGAAGCCCCCCCCTGCCATTCAGAGATATCTCTGTCTTCCGGGATCCCACTGCGGAAGACCCCCCCACCCTTTTTGTGGCTCATCTCCCCTGGTGCGGTCTCTTTGCAAATGCCACTCCTGGGGAGGGCCAGCATGAGGCCCTCTGACCACAGGCCGCACAAACGCAGGCTCTCAACAGAGGGCCACAGGACGAACACCAGCCTGGTGCTCATCCGGGCCATCACCAACTGGCTGAGCTGGGTCTCGTTTCCCCAGCTGTCACATGAGATTGGAGGAAGGCCCCTGTCAGACCGCTTCTGGCCCCACTCCCAGAGGCTGCTGTGTGAGCACTGGGAGAGCGGGATGACCAAGGACACCACTGGGGTGGCTGTAGCCATGCTTTTCTGGCTCCGCCCACACAGGTTGACTCTCAGAAAGTCCAGGTTGCTGACGCGAGCAGCCAAGGGCTTCCTCAGCAAGCCGCTGACCAAGGCCCCAGAGTCGTTGCCGGGGAGCCAGAGCTTCAACTACATCCCACTGGTGAGTGCCCAGACCCCAGCCAGTCCGCCCAGGGGCCATCCTGTGAGCCTCCTCCCGCCCCGCCCGGCCCCCTCGGCAAGGGGAGAAGACCTAGACCTTCCCACCCACGTGGTCAGCAGGGCAGAGGTTTGCAGGAGTCCCTTCCCCAGAGGCTAGAAGTGTGGCTAGAAGCCAGCACCAGCACCGTGAAAATTCTTTGCAATCTGCTACCTTTTTAAAATTCATGGGGATTTTACATTTTACTCCACCGTCTATGTGCATCTGTTTTTCACGGCATAAAAATATGCCTTGAAATGACTCTCAGGTGAGTAAAATTAACGCCCCAGGGACACATGAACATGCTCTGTGTCTTTGCAGACACCCCAGCAGGCTGCGGCAGGGCGAGAAGCCCAGGTCTGGAGTGGCAGTCTCTGAATCAAGGGGCGAAGGGGTGAGGCTCTGCCACACCTGGGCCAACGGGGCGTGGGGAGCAGAGGGTGCTGGAAGGAGGCCCGCAGCAGGAGGGTGCGTGGCTCCTGTCCCAGCACCCCCAAGTGCACCGGCCCTTTCCAAAAATGCCAGCAACAGGGCACTATGCATGTATGTGTTCAACAAGGGTTTGTTGAGCCTGGCACAATGCTAGACAACCTTGAACTAGATGAACATTGTCCCTGAGCCCATGGCACTAATTATCTAGTGGGGACAGGGACATGGAACCAGGCAATTCTGCTCCTGGGTGCAGTGATAGGAGAGCTTGGGTGTGGAAGGACAGACCGAGGCATGAGCAGGGGAGTCTCAGGCTCGTGGTCAGGGAGGAAGGGTGCTTGGCTTCCTGGATGAGTGATGGCTGATGGCCCACGGGGGAGAGAGCACGTGGTGGCTGGAGAGTGGGGTTTGAAGAGGAAAATCAAGGATGAGCCAGTGCTTTGGAAATCGTAGTTTGGGCTCATCCGAAGAGAAAATTGAAGCCACTGAACCGGTGGCCTCCAAAGAGTGGCAGGACCTGTGCCTTACAAAGAGCCCTGGGTCTGCAGGGGAGATGGGAGGGTGTGGACAGGAGAGGAGAGCAGAGGCAGGGGCCACACGAGGAGGCAGGTGGTTAGAAAGCAGGCCCGTTGGGACTTGGACACTGATGGGCGTGGAGGGCCCAGGAGGGAGGTGAGCTGCCCAGAGCACGCCTGGTGGCAGAGGATGGTCCCAGATGGGCCCACCCGCCGGAAACAAGAGGCAGGTTTAGAGCGAAGATGCTGAGCTGGGCTGGGAGAGGGGTCAGTCTGAAGTGCCTGTGGGACAAAGGATGGAGATGCTCCGTCAGCCTGGGCACCCTGCAGGTCCCCCAGGGAGGTGGGGAGCTCAGTAGTGGGCTTTGGGGACCCTGACTTCTGCATTGCCTGGGCCCCGCAGGCTCAAAAGTTTGAGGCCCACTGTGGGGCTCTCCCACCCGCAGGTGTCCCTGCAGCTGGCTTCCGGAGCCTTCCCGCTCAACCAGGCCTTCTGTGAGGCCATCCACATCCCTATGGACAAGCTCAAGTGGACCTCACCCTTCACCTGCCACCGAGTGTCCCTCACAGCCCGCCCGCCTGAGACAAAGACCCCCAGTCCCCAGCTGTGCACCGGCTCCTCGCCTCGGCACCCCTCTTGTGAGACCTCCGTGGAGCCCGTGGCAGAGGACAAGGCAGGCGGGGAGCCCAGGGATAGGGTGGAACACACAGGGCAGCTGTGGGCCACGGTGGTGGCACTGGCGTGGCTGGAGCACTGCTCAGCATCCTACTTCGTGGAGTGGGAGCTGGTGGCCGCCAAGGCCAGCTCGTGGCTGGAGCAGCAGGAGGTGCCCGAGGGCCGCACGCGGGCCACACTCGAGGCTGCTGGCCTCCAGCTGTTCGTGCTGCTGCAGCACTGGGACGAGAGCCTGGAGTTCAACATGCTCTGCTACAACCCGAATTACGTGTAGTTGGGGGAGGGGAGGCTGGGGCTGGGGAGGAGCGGGAGGGCACCGCGAGGGCTTGGCAGCGGGAACCTTGGAAGCTGTAGCCAATACATTGGTTGCTACAAAGAGCCCTGGACTTGCCGTCGGGAGGCCTGAATTCAGTCCCAGCTTTGCTATCAACTAGCTGTGCACCTTGAGGCCAGACAGCGCCCCCTGTCTGGGCCTCAGTGTCCCCACCTGTAAAATCAGTGGGTGAGGTGAGAGAGTTGGGCTAGATCTCTAGAAGGTTCAAAGGTCCCTTTCTGCCCAGACAGGTGGGCTGCTATGGGGTTTCCTGTCCCCAGGGGCAGAGAAGGAGTACAACTTACACCTGAGCTCCCGCTGCAGGCGGGTCATGTGGGCGATGCCCCCCTCCCCGGAAAGGGCGGAGGAGCAAGCCCCAAAACTGCGAGTAATCAGACCCACAAACTTGCGGCTAGGCACAGGAGACCACCTCTGCCTGCTGCGTTGTGGGATAGGCTCGTGTCTCCATGGTGACAGTCCACGACCCCTAAATCCTGCTACAAACCAACTGGAAAACCACCCTCCCCAACACTTTACAGAAGAGTCACCCAGGGCCTCGTCTTTTTCTTGGAAGCTCTCTGTCTGTCTTAGTGCCGGCTGACAGATTATTTGTGACCTCCTAGCTAAGGAGGCGGTGAGCAGGACAATGGGGAGACCTCCTGCGAGCTGAGGTGTTAGAATTAAGTGGCTGTCTGTGCAAAAGTAGTCCCAAAAGCATAGATGGAGTCACAGAAGTCAGTGGAAAAACAGCACCTTCAATAATTTGTGCCTCCGGGAACTTCATGCTGCAGACCCCGTCCACGCGTGCTAAGGGGCTAGGGAGGCCCCCTGCATCACATGCAATTCTGGGACGGCGGGGCGCTGTCTAGCCAGGTCACACTGTGCAGGACAGGGGTCTTCTCTGCAACAGAGAACCATGCTCGGCTGCAGTATGTCTGGGGCGGCGGCTTTGGCCAGGAGATGTGATTTATTCCATGAAACGAAAGACTTTTTTGAAGAAGCTTCAAGAACTGAGAGGCCCTGGGACCTCCCCCTCGCAGGCCTACCTCGAGATACCATGCGGTGACGTCTGTGTTGCTGCCTCAGACTCCCTCCTGGCTGCTGCCCAGTGACCTTTGCCCCACAGACTCTCCTGGAGGCAGGTCTGGACCTCAGCAAGGAAGCCCACCCGCTTGGACCCCCCAGGATGAATCCACACCCCACCATACACACCCCTCTCCAAGGCCTTGAGCTCGCCTCCTCGAGTGGTCCCGTCGGGCCCCACGGCCCTGGCACAAGCTCCTCCCTCCTGAGAGATCCCCACAAATCACACTGCCCTGTGGGGAGGACCTGTGGACTCCAGCACAAGTCTCAGCCTCATGAAGACGAAAGGCTTCAGCAGGAGAGGAGGGAGAGCAGGGGCCCAGCAGAATACCCCCCCCACAGGATGCGGTGCCCTGCCCTGCACTGGGCCTCCATGCAGAGGCCTGGCTGGTCCCCTGCTGAGCTGCACCAGTGCCTCAGAGGCTCTCACCAAAAGCCGGGGGTCCATCCCCAAGGGAGGGGAAGGGGTAGGAGACAGTGTAAAATCCCATCAGCAGTTTGGCTGCCTCTGGGCAGGAACCCACCAGGCACCGAAGCCACCCCCCCCCCGCCCCAGGCAGGACAGGATGCCTGGGGGGTGTTGGCTCAAAGTCGGTGCCACCAAGACAAGAGCTTTAGGCTGCCTTGCTGAAGGCCTTGACCAGGCGTGAGAACAGCCTTGTCATCTCCCTACACATCTGCTCTCCGGCACCGCCCAAATAACACTTCCGCAGCTATACAGCCAGCAGCCCCAGCTCCAGAGTAAGGAGGGAGGGGCGTGGCATTGCCTTCTTGGCCTGCCATGCGTGGGAAGATTGTCCAGCTGACAGCCAAAACACCTGGCACTAGTTTGGGTGAGTGACATCCCCTCTCTAGGTGCCCAGGAGCCAGGGGGCTTCCCCCACCTTGACTTTCCCAGATTCTCTGCCTCTGAGCTGTTCTCCTCCTAGTGGCCATGGACTTGCTTTAATTGTCTGGGTGACCTTGAAACCGGTCACATGTGCTTTCTGGGCCTCTTTCCTTCTCTAACACAGGCCAGGTTGGACTGGGCTGTCCAGCCTCCCGGTTAACCTGATTCTGGGTCTCCAGGCTGAGTGTAGACAGTGACTGGGGGTGGGGAGGTCAAGGTGGCCTGGCACCTGCCCAGTGTGGAACTGGACACCTGGAAGGAGTCACGGAGAAGCCCAGCAAGGCTGCGGGCACACCACCACCCCGCTTCTTCGGAGAACGCCCTCAGGCACCACCCCAGCAGCAGCAGCTGGAGCTCTGGACAACTCTGATGGATGAACCACTCACCTCCGTACCCCCCCGGCTCCCCTACCCGGCACCTAAGGGTGCAGAGAAACAAATTCTCCTTGATTTCAAATAACCCAAGGGCTTTGGGGGATGTCTGGTTAAGAGACGTGTTTGAAAAGAACTTCAGTGACATTGCAATGGCAAGCAGTCTCAGAAATGTGCCCCTGGGATGTTCAAGCAGAGGACAGAGGGACCATTCAAGGAAAAGATAAGAACCTTAGGGAATTAGCACATGCACCAAAGCTACAGCGGTTCCAAAGGTTCTCAAGTAGGGGAACCATTGCCCCTAGAATCGGGATTAATCAGGATTAATCTGGACTCTTTGTTAAACTAGGCCTTGCTTTCTGGGTCATGCCAAGGGACCTTTATGTCATGCCGGCTGAAGATTCAGGAGAGTACAAATGCCAAGGGACACTGTCCAACAGAGCGGGCCTTCAGTGGGAGAAACAGTGGTCAGAGGGCTGGGGTTCAAGTGCTGGTCCAAACCCCACCACCAGTGTGCGGTGTGACTTTTGGCAAGTCGCTTCCTCTCTCCGGGCCCCGTCTCATCTTTTGTAGAAGGATGAGGTCACACGAGATCAGCATTTCCAACTCTGTTCTGTGGTGTGTGCATTAGCAATGCGTAAGAAATTGTCCTCGAGCAAACACGTTGGGGAAACACTGGGAAAACCATCTCTTTAGGTCAGGGTGACCTGGCCCCAAGAAGTGGGTCTTGTCAGTCTCTAATATGTGACTCAAAAGGTCCCTCTCCCCAGGTTCCTCAGCCCAGAAAATGCCGGTCTGGGTCTCCCCGAGGGTCCTTCCGGCACTGACATTCAGAAAGCTTTGGCTGAAGGCCTACTGTATGCCAGGCACACCGGGGTAGCCTTGGGTGCGTTTCCGGCCCTGGTTGGAGCTCGGTGAGAAGCATTTGAAGAACGTCTGCCCAGTGGACCGCTGCCCCGCTCCCTGGTGTGCCTCAGCTGGCCTGGCCTTGTCCCCAACCTGTGGTCTTGCCACCCGTAGGTGTGGCCTCAGCCCACACCGTGGAGGCACCGTGCACCCTGAAGGCCAGCCCCCGAGTGCTCTGACACTCAGTGATGGGGCGAGCAAAGCCGACCACAGCTCCTGCTGGGGGCTGCTTGTCTGGGGGAGTGTGGAGCCCCCGCAGCGAAGTGCCTTGAGGGTCCAACCTCCTGCCTCTGCACAGAGGTGGGGTCCTCCCTCTGAGACCCTCAGCTGAGGAGACCAACTCCAGACCCTGGGAGAGTGGCATCGGCTTTCAGAGGCACTTGTGTGTGCCCAGCCATCCCCTACTATCCACGGACAAAACGAATGACATCTACTGTCCCCGACTGCTGTGACCGACGATGGAGGAGTGGTTCCATTCTAGCTGCTGGTGGGTCCTCACCTTTTCCTCCGGTGGTTGAGAAAGCGAGAGATCCTCTTTATTCGCCTGGAGCCAAAAAGCCTTCTGGAAGTTGCTCTCAATCCTAACTTGCCACCCGTTGGTCCCTACGCTTACTTGAAGGCTCTTTCTTTCTCCCTTGGCTGCTGTTCCCCTTCTCTTCCTCGGCAGGGACTCCCATTGAGAGGAAGTGGGAGAAGGGGTCTCCCCAGTCTGAGCCCCTGCCTGCCTGGCTGGAGCCCGTGGGACACTCCAGCTCCCACCGTTGCCAGGCCCCAGTGCTGCCTCTCACTTCTGACACATTGGAACATCTCCAAGTGGTCCCCAGGCACAGACGAATGCCGCATCCTCAGTGCCCTGGCCAGGGAAGAGAAGGGCACTGCTGCCCCGGGGCCGGGTGGTGTGTTCACTGCAATGGCATGGGGGAGACATTTTTTATCCCCCACTAATCTAGCAGGGACTAGAGAAACCGGTGAGCAGAGCATGGGCATGTGCCTGGGCTGCAGCACACCCTGCAGAGCCAGCGTACGGCCAGCCAGGGAGGGGGCATGTGCCGTGTTCTGCAGCTGGATAACCTGATGGGCAGCGATCTGTCCTGAGGTCAGGAGCTTGGCAGCATCTCCTGGTCAGGCTCCCGTGCCTAGTACAGGGCTCCCTGACCGTCTCCTGAGCTACCTGACAAAGTGGGGTTTCTTCTGCCCTTGCTGCAGCCCTCCTTGGCTCAGAGCCGGCGGCCTTGAGCTTGTAGCCGCTTCCCAAGGCAAAGCGCCTCGTCTCCATGTGGCCAACTGTGGTGGCACACGCAGTGTAGTTTCACTATCTGCCCAGGTGGCTGTGGCTCAAGTGGCATGGCCGGTGCTTGTCCCCCTCAGAGCCTCAAGTGCCTACAGTGTGCTGGCCCGTCCCCTTGCCTGCTCGCCTGTCACGTCCCCGTGGTGCCTGGGACACTTCTTGTGCTTGGAATCCACGTTGCCTTTTTGCCCAGTAGCCAATGACGTAGATGTCGTGGAAGTCCCAGACACCAGCCGTCTAGGATCCACCACTGAGTAGGGAATCGCACCCTGGAGCTGTGTGTGTCTGTTCTCAAAAGAGCAGCTTCTTTGCACGTGGCGGCTACTGTTCTCTTCCAGGCTTTTAGCTTATAAAAACTGTTGAAGCTGATGACATGACGAAATAATACCTGTGTCTGCCCTTTTGTTCTCCAAGCTGATACTTG